ACCTCCATCACAGCAGAATGCCATTCTGGATGGCTCTCTTTTATCCTGTGGAGGAACTCAACACCATAAACTGCTTGTAGGCGACTTTTAGATGCACGGATGACATTGGTTCCGATGAGCACCGGGACTGAGGAGCGATATTCAGAATCAGGGACAACAAATGTGGGGACAGTCATACAGTCCTCTCCAAAGACCTTAAGTTCGATTTGCAAGACACCATAATAAGGCACATTTTGAGCTGCAGCACCTTCTATAGTTATTTTGGATGGCTGCAGATTCTGTTTTTGAAGGTCTGGGTGGTTGTGCCAGAAACTATGGGTGATGCTTGTGATCTGAGATCCAGAGTCGATAAGAGCCCTGCATTTAATGCCATTTTATCTCTACTTCTCCCTCATTTCTTGGGCCCACTAGAGGAGTTCCCTCTGTTCTATTGGCATTGCCTTCATTATCTGGGTGTGGGGCTTCCTGCTTGCCCATGGTTGCCTGCTACCATGGGCTTTAAGCGTTTAAACCCTGAGCTGGGGCATGCTGACTTCCTCTGCTGAGGTTGACCACTGAGCGAGGCGAGTCCCGGAGGAGGTGGAATCAGGAAGTACTGCTCGACAGAACCTAGCTATGTGCCCTCGGTTTCCACAGCGATGACACGTAACACTTGAACCGTGGCTCGTGGAATGTGCTGGTGAGGGAAACGTGTTTGGGGGTAACTTCGAGGATTTCAGACTCGATTCCAGTTTGGACAGTTTGGCCATTTGCTCTTCTTGGCTAAGGGCTAATTTTCTGACGATCTCAGTCAGTTCAGAGAGCTCGGAAGTGCATTGTTTTCCTTCCACCTTCACAGCTGAGCTTTCTGAGGTCATCTGCACCTGAGTAAATGTAGTTTTTGTTTTATTTTGTGGCTGAAACTTCTTTGTTTCTCTTGCCATATTTCGTAGCTCAGACTGCAGTTCTCGAAAACTCAGTAACATGGGCTTCATAGGAGATATTCGTGCATATACCTGTTCATCTATCAGCCCTCTTAAAAACTGACGAGTCAGTTTACTATCTCGATCTGGAAAGGGCCTACCACCCCTCTGATTTTCTTCCACAGCCCGCAAGGTTGCCTCCAGTGCTATGGCATAGGAGCAGGCTGACTTGCATGATCTCTGGCTCTGCTCATAAAAGTCAGCTAAGGGATCTAATGAGCCCTGAGTATCACTGTATTCTGCCCTCAGTTCATTAAATGCCTTCTCAGGGGTCTGGTCGCTGTGCGGAAGGTTAAGAACCAACTTCCTGGCCTCTCCATTGAGGTGTCGAATCACTGTGGAGAAGCGAAGATGTACAGGGAGGTCAATGGCATCCAACAGGTACTGCATATCGCGGATCCAGTCTTCCACCAGCATCTTACTGTCTGCATTACCAGTAAAAACTGCCACATTCTTTACTTGGTGCGTCTGTAGAAAACCACCATATGTTGCTTGGGGGAGGCGTGGGCTGATGGTAGTCCTCCCATAGTCCAACTGAGAGTCAGGATGGTATGTGTACGAGGCCATGGCACCCGGTGGGGGCCGAGGAATGTATGAGGCAGCTCCTGAGTGGTCATATGTGTGAAACCCCAAAGCATGCGGCTGCATGTGCTGTGGTACAGCAGCTTGCTCGGGACCAGTGTGGTTGGGGGCTCCATATGAGCCAAACTGGGAACTAATTAAAGCCGGGTTGGGGGCCCCGGTGTTTGCAGTGGATATTTGCGTTTGTGCTTCCCCCTGGGTGCCACCCTGATAATTAGGTGCAACCAATTGAGAAGGCTGGAATGTGGGTCTGGGCTGTTGTGGTAACACAGCTGCATTTTGGGATGCACTGTAATAGTTTTGACAACCAAGGTGGGCTGGTGCAGGAGGAGGAGGAAGAGACAGTTGCGGCGGGACGGGGTACTGGTCACTATAGAAGGACAAATGGGGAGGAAGAGGAGTAGACTGCTCTTCACGTGCCCATGGCTGTGGTTGTGTGTGGCCTGAAATGGCACTAGTGTTATTTTGCTGGGACCCTGTGAGAGATCCTGGACCCAGAGGCTCAACTGAGTAATTATGCCACATTTTTGCCCTTCCTTTCTTTCTTTATTTCTTTACTGAACAGATTTTGTCTATGTCTAAAGAAGTTGCTAACACAATAATGTTCTTTGCATCAAATAAGATGAATAAGAGCATCAAATAAGAGCGAATAAATACAACACACTGCTCACCACAAATATGAAAAAAATGGAGGTGTTACTGAATCACAACGACCCCTTTAAATGGCTAGCTGGGATTTTTTTTTTTTTACACTATTATCACAAAACAAAACACATTTTACATAAAGCTTTCAAGAATACACTGTGATACTGCTCAAATTTAAACTGGAGACACAGTCAACCGGAACAAAGTCTTCTTTTTTTTTTAAATCAAAAATTCCCCTCCAACCTGTTGGTCTTGAAGAACCGCAATCCGGGTCACGGCACCAAGATGTAACCCAGGCTTTCCGACCCTAAATCTGCAATCTGCAACTGATGGAAGACACCCTAGGCTCTGCGTTGTGTTTTATGGTGAAGGCGGGGTGTGATCCGTGCAGGGGCGGAATCAGACACAGGGCTCTTCAGACTTTCGCGCTTTTATTTCATCCACCCTTGCAAGCAATAAACACACTGTCACAATTCACAAAGGAGTTCAATGCCGGTCAAACACTTTCATGTAGCTTATCTAAACATGTCAAAATCTGACTATACAGCTAAATATATTGTGTCAAAACGTAATGAACATAATAAACTGTTTGTCAGGGCTTTTTGTCATTGACTTGGATACTTTGGTAGTATTTCTACTGAGGCAATCGGAGAACAGAAGGAGACGTTATGAACGATGACATCAATTTCCTTCGCGGTTTTAGAATTGGAGTCTGCCTGTAGTTTTAGCAACGGCAGCGAAGTGACCGGAGCCGTTTAGTTCAGGTTTGCCACACTTACAAATTCTGAACTGAATTCAATTTAATAGATGGGTACTTTGGACAATTTCCGCTAAGTGTCATAGCATTGAATTGGCGCCTTATACATGTCACGGTCAAACGTTAGTGCTGATATAAACAGAGCCCAGAGTCCAGATTCTCTGTAGGCATTATAGAAAATTTTTTAAACCAGACCAGTTTAGTCCAGTAATCTTAAATAAAACCAAACAACCGTTCCCCCTCATAAGTCCCTTAATATTAAACACAGAGCTTTTCCGACAGGTTAGAGAATGTACTTCGGCATTTTCTTGCCTCCCATCGTCACTTTCTGTGTTAAATTAAATTCTGGATTAATAAGGGTTGTTGTGATGGTGTTGTACAGTGCTTTAAGATCTTGTTCAATGTGGCCTTTTTTTCTTTTTAACTTTGAGCCCCTGCCCCTCCAAAGGTCTCTGCACGGCCCTGATGTTAGCATCTGGTTTTTCTGGAGCATGTTCACTATAAATCTCAGGCACTCAATCTCCCATTTAAGTTGATTGATTTTTACCAGCAAGGCTGCAGAAGTTTGATCTAGACTCATCATGAGGCTCTAGGCCACAGAGCTGAGCACCCAAAACTGCTCAAAGCAGAGCTGAAGCTCCAAGGACATTTTGAATCAAAACAAACTCTGGTAGAAGGCATTTTTTAAACTTTATTCCATGTAAAGAACAGACAGGTTTGCAAAAGTACTTAAAAGTACTTAGGACTGTAGACCATAGTGAAAACAGTATAGATTTCAAACAGTACTTTGGAAAAAACAGTATAGAAATATTTCACAACGACCACTTTGTAGTCACTTTTCAATAAGGTTTTTTAGCAGGGGTGTCCTCAGAGACTCGGTTCTCACAATTTTGCCAATTTAGCCCTTCACATTGAGAGCTTCTGCAAAACATCAACCTTGATCCGATATTTGGTTGAGGTTTGGTTGATATTTGGGACTTTGGTTGGTGACTAAATCATTTTAGACATCCTATCAGTGGAAAACTGCATCAAGCACTCTGACCTATTTGCACTCCTTAAGTGTGAATGCCTCATTAGATGCTCGCCAGCTGAGCTTTTATCAGATCTCCCCATAAAGAAAAATATGATTTTAAAATAAGTTCAACAAACACTACTTCAATTTAAGAGAAGTGTTTGCACTGGATGAACCAGCCTTTAACCATATGTGAAATGTGAAATGCACTCTGTAAATGCCAGTCTGGAAGTAAAGATTTCTTGATTTTGTTGAAAGCAGTGATTTGATTGACTAATTTAACAGCAGAATGGACTTTTTTTTCTTTTGCACATTATTTTATTTGAATCTTTGAAATTAATCTAACGGAAACAGAAATGAATTGTGGGCAGGTTCTGTTGAGCATGATGATGTCACATAAACTGACTAGTCATCAGGCGCTTTTGGAACTTTTGTCAATAAAAGAGGAGTTCCTACAGGAATTTATCCATTTGAAGAGTTCGTCTCAGACAGATTACTTCAAGAAATTTCATTGAGCTTCAGTTTTGCAAGTAAGTATTTATTTAGAAATTAGTGAGGCAAAGAAGAAAAGTTGAATTTTGTGAAGGAATTGTGAAGCGATGTTGCAGATAGGTCAACATCAAACCATTTTACTATTTTTTTGATGAAAATATCAAATGTCTCATTTGTGTTTTAGTGTCTTTTTGCATGTTTGCTAAGTTTGTTGAGTATTGAAACATGCAGTTTTTCATGCAAAAAAATTGGTTTTCCTTAAGGTTTCATAGATAGTTGATGATTTTCACACATGAAATGATAGATTTAATATAATAGGTAACTAAATGATCATTAAATTTACAGTGTTTACTATAAAAATGACTTTCTGTAGAGTTGTGTTGTACATTTTAGACATGCTTTGTGCAAGTCATTGACCACTTTTGCGTGTCTGGTTTTTTTTCACAGTCATGCAAAGATCAAGTGAACGTTTGTTAAGGAACGGCTACTACGATATATATGGACAACCAGTTATTTCCTACAGGGAAACAGCAGTGAGGTATATTAAATCAGCAAAAAAATTTTTAACTCTTATGTCTTATGCAGTCATCTGCTGATCAATGTACATATTTACTCACTTGTATTTTTTCCATCTTGGGTCAGGAGGAGGTACATTACAGGTCGCCCAGTAAGTCCCCCTAGAAACCGCCCGGCGAACCGCCCGGCGAACCGCCCGGCAAACCGCCCAGCAAACCGCCCAGCAAACCGCCCGACAAATGAAGAGATATCATTAAGAGAGAGGCATCAGACTCGTGCGGTGCAAATTATTTTGGACCGAGAAAACCAGATGATAGACTGTCTGATAAACATTCGCCATATCACCCGCTTATTCTTTTTCACCTTCATCACTTGTGGTAAATACTCTCCCACAAACAATCCGTTTGGAAGTGTTACAGAAAGTCTGTATTTTGAAATTCGTCTCACTGTTGTCTTCTGCTCATGTTCATCAGCTTGTCTTTGGTGGATTATTTGCCCACGACCGTCTAAGATGTCTCTTACAACAACTATGACAGACATGGTAGGCTTTCTCTTCCTAATCCTAACACTGATTTAATTATCATGAACAAACATGAGAACAAGCTGTTAACTTTTATGTTGTGCACAGGGTCCAATCTCTGGAGTTGAGGATCAGGGACATCTCTCCAGGCTGCAGATGTTGGAGAAAAAAATTAACTACCTTCTACCAGAAGTAGACCTGTGGCCAAACTTTGCTCTCCACTCTCAAGGTGACCCATTACAAATAAGATCATCAACTAGATTGCACATTTTCAGTATCAAATTTTTCTGACTCACATTATTTCTCTTCTTGTGTTTTGTGTATAGGAGCAACGATTTTGTACAAAAAAACGACAGAGTCATGTGAAAGCCATATTGGATGTAGAATACTTGGAGTGCCTATCAGGGCACCAGCTATAGATGCAGACATTGTTATTCAGGTCTTAATGACACTTAGATTATTCAAGAAATATTAGGAAAAAAGTGATGTTTCTTGTTGATATAATATTAGGCCTTATGATTTCTTTTCTCTTAGTCTTGGTACCCCACCTAAACTTTGTTTTGTTCTCTGTTTTCAGGGAAGAACTCATCTGCATCCTGGACAATGCTGGGCCTTTTCAGGCTTCCCAGGACGTTTGGCCATCTCATTGTCTCACACAGCCATCATCAGACATGTGTCCCTGGGCCACATTCGAAAGATTGTGTCCCCAACGTCCTCCGTCTCCAGTGCTCCTAAAGAGTTTTCTGTCTTTGTAAGTCAAGTGAAACGAGTGTCAAAACTGTAATATATATATATATCCACCTATTGCATATTTTAAGTATACTTGTGATAGCATTGATTCCGTATGACATCACTTGATCTCATTCTAAATGATGCAAACATTCTGCCTGCACTAATGAATTTTCTGCTTATCTCAGGAAGTGATATGTTTTCAGCTACACCAACTAACTTTCACATTTCTAGAAAGAACAAGATAATGAACTGGATTTCTATCTAATTTTGTCTCAGGGAAAGAAGAATTTAGAAGATGAGGAAACTCATTTGGGAACTTTCATATATGACGAAAATGGAGACCAAATTCAGACCTTCAAACTTTCTGTAAATATGTCAAATTAATGTTTTATTATCCAAATACATTTCACTCAGAAGCCCAGACTGACTGACCCTGTTATAAATATTGATTGTTTTTCCTAAACTGGGTATTAATAGCATTCAATATACAAAAAAATACTTTAAATAAAATGGCAGATACTGTATTATTGTTCCGTTCAAAATGCTCCACTAAAAATTTCTATTTAAACCATAAAAATTATGTTAATGCTGCACTCCCAGAGCTCTCGAGTGAGAGTGCAACTGATAGAAAGCATTGAAAAAATAATCAGTTAGTCAACTTTGTAGCAAATATGTCGTCTAGAAATAGTGCCTAGATGCATCACCAGGCTCCACCTGCATATGCAGCCACAGAAAGCTTTGTTATCGAACCCTAACTATTCCAAAACACAGAGATACGGAGCGATCAACTTGAACAGATGCAAACAAAAAAAAACAGTTGATATTTTTTTCTTGGCATAAATCTTGTTGAAAGAATACATCAACTTTTATTATGTCTTGACAACAACAAAAAAAGTCAACCTCTTATGACAAAACAATCATTTTTGACATCTCATAATAAAAAACCAACAAAAAATCCCAGTGTTACTACATAACAGTTTGTTTTAGCAAGATATCAACATACTTCCCTTGCTATCTTGAGAAATACTATGCAAAATATTTTTATAGCAAGGCCAGTTGAACTAGGCTTCCATGCACTTTAAGACAGACCTCCTTTGTTTCTATTGTCTATTTGCAGCTATGGATTACCAATCTAACCTCCCTAATTTGTATCTCTCTTGGCTTACAGGCTGATAAAGTTGGCCCCTACAACCATGTTACACTACAGGTGAACAGCAACTGGGGAGAATCGGGCTACACCTGCCTCTACGACTTCAGAGTGCATGGAGATCTAGCCAAAGAATGAGGTCAACAAGGAGGAAAGGGGTGTAAGATAGGAAAGGGGAAAAAGTACATTTTTTTCTTTGATATATATTTTTTGTAGATGTTTTTGGAATTAATTATAAATCCTGATTAAAACAGTTACACCACTCATCTATAAGTAGACAATCAAATGAAGATGAAAAACAACACACACACACATCCATGAAGGCTCTCAGACAGGTACCACAGGAACAGAAAACATTTTCTTGTTACCCCCATCTTGGTGCCTGCATGTTGGGTTTACTGCGGTGAGCAAGAGGGAGGTTCAGAGAACTCACCCTTTCTGGAGTCCTTGGAGGGTGTACTGGAGTGCACCCCTCAGGGATTCCCTTGTTCTAGTGGAGAACTTCAACAAGGCAATGGGCAATGACAGTGAGACCTGGAGAGATGTGGTTGGGAGGAATGGTCCCGGAGATCTAAACTCGTGAACTTCTGGGTTCTCTCCGGGTCCGCAGTTTCTTCCCACAGACATCACAAATTGGCATGCATGGGTTCTCTCTGGGTGCACCAGCTTCTTCCCAAAGACATAAAAGTAGCATGCATGGGTTCTCTCTGGGTGCTTCACCTTCCTCCCACAGACATCATAAATTGGCAACAATGGGTTCTCTCCGGGTCCGCCAGCTTCTTCCCACAGACATCATAAATTGGCATGCATGGGTTTTCTCCGGGTGCTCTGGCTTCCTCCCGCAGACATAAAAGTAGCATGCATGGGTTCTCTCCGGGTCCGCCAGCTTCTTCCCACAGACATTATAAATTGGCATGCATGGGATTTCTCCGGGTGCTCCGGCTTCCTCCCGCAGACATAAAAGTGGCATGCATGGGTTCTCTCCGGGTGATCCGGCTTCCTCCCGCAGACATAAAAGTAGCATGTGTGGGTTCTCTCCGGGTGCTCCGGCTTCCTCCCGCAGACATAAAAGTAGCATGTGTGGGTTCTCTCCGGGTCCGCCAGCTTCTTCCCACAGACATTATAAATTGGCAACAATGGGTTCTCTCTGGGTGCGCCAGCTTCTTCCCAAAGACATAAAAGTAGCATGCATGGGTTCTCTCTGGGTGCTTCGCCTTCCTCGCACAGACATCACAAATTGGCAACAATGGGTTCTCTCCGGGTGCTCCGGCTTCCTCCGCAGACAAGAAAGTAGCATGTGTGGGTTCTCTCCGGGTCCGCCAGCGTCTTCCCACAGACATCACAAATTGGCATAAAGGGTTCTCTCCGGGTGCTCCGGCTTCCTCCCGCAGACATAAAAGTAGCATGTGTGGGTTCTCTCCGGGTCCGCCAGCTTCTTCCCACAGACATCATAAATTGGCATGCATGGGTTCTCTCCGGGTTCTTCGCCTTCCTCCCACATCAAAAACACAATTGTTAGGTTAATTCTCCATGTGTTACATGGTCATTTGTCCTGTGTCTCACTGCATTGCCCTGGGATGGTTTGGCAACCGGCACAATTCCATGTTCAGGTTCTCTTTTTTGCACCATTTAAAATGGAAACACTGACACTTTTACATAAACTGGTGGTACATTTACCATAAACTGTCTGAGAGCATTAACATATTCAACCACAAACATAAACTCTGAAAACAGTGCATCTTCATGTCTTAATCAAAATTAAAGATTGTCTGTCCAGGTTATGGAATACAGCAACATGACTTTGTAGATAATGATGCACTAACACAATTCTTTAAGTTATTTCACAGATATTGAAGTTTAACTTTTTGTTTCATGTTATTCTTTCGGGACTGATTCCAGTGAGAGGTAGTTTACTGCTACAGGCTCAGACTATTTTCTGTCAATATCTATTGTATAGACTTTCCCAGATCTCCCTTTTGTAACATGTGTATTGTAAACTAATATTGTAATTGAATCTGTCTTTCTTTCAGAAGGTTTGTTGACAGTTTTGTGTTTGTGTGTTTTTTATTTTTGCCCTCTTGAAGCCAGCCAGCCTCGGCAGATGGCTGCTCATCCTGAGCCTGGTTCTGCTGGAGGTTTCTTCCTTTTAAAGGGAGTTTTCCTCTCCACTGTTGCCTTGTGCTTGCTCAGGATGGGGGATCCCTTGGATTAAACATCCATCGCGATCTGCTGGTGACCCCTCCGCAGAATCGCCACCTTAACGTGGTGGAGGGGTTTGAGTATCCCCATGACCCAGATGGAGATTTTGTCTTGGGGTTCAGCCAATAGTGAGGCTTCCCAGGGCAGGCTGCCATTGGGGAGGGATCAGACTAAGAGCGATTCAAGGTTTTCAGTGAAGGGCTACCAAAGGAATCAGGTATTTCTAGGACACAGACAGTTATCCCAAGTACGGTTTTGCTGGAAGTTTCTCCCTATAAAAAGTCAGTAATCTTCTTCACTGATAAAAATGACAATGAATTCACTGTACTCCAATGCCCTCCTGTGACTGCTAATTGTGCTTCCATTAAGGTACCAGAATGTGAGGCTCCTAAGTCACATGGGGACTTTGGTCTCTTTGGGCCAACGAGTGAGCAGTGTGAGACTAAGTGGAGATTTGAGACAGACACACAGGCATGGAAGGTTCTGGCTCAATACTTGGAGAGGAGCCACTCACCCACACTTGAAGGAGGTCCACACCTTGGAGCAGTTGCCTACACCTGAAGGGGCCAATGGGTCCATGTTTGAAGGAGAACTGCACATGACAGAGGGCCAGAAGGAGGCGTGCACATGTCAGTTCAGTGGTTCAAAATGCCAAAATGCCTGGGCTTCTGCCTACATTCTCTGGACTTGTGTTTTAAAAATAAAAGCCTCTAAATTACTTCAAATGGTTACCGGTGTTGTGTCCATTCATTTTACCTTTACAGTCTCACTATTTGCACAGTCCTTCCAACCTACACATAGCTGAATGTGAGAAACTGCCACATAGCATGGCATGTGGGTACACCAACAATGACAGACATTTGAATTGCATTTCTCCATGTTGTCATCTTAAGTAAGAATGTCATTTCATCATGGTAATGTCACAGTCAGTTTCCGCAAGCTACCCTCTCTGTACATGAGTACAACAGGAATCAAGAAATAGTGAAAAATTAAAATTTAGAAAGGTTCTTAAATTTCTTAAATAATCTTAAATAAGCTACAATGAGCCAAAATTATTTTCTTCATTCCACTATGTCTGCAGTTCTAACATTCTGCTCAGCCTTCTTCTGCAATAACTAAGAGTGCCACCATTATTGTAGTTCTTAACTGCTAACTCAGCCCTCGCCTGAGGTAACTGAGTGATCCACCATGTCTGTAGTTCTAACCTTCAATCATTGTCATTCTAAAACACCAATATTAATGTACCGCCTGAGGCACTGCACCACTCTGAGAGGTAAATAGAGGCATTTATTTTCAGATTTTCACTAAGCTATATTTTAAATGGCCACATTAGTGTTCCGTCATAGTTAGAACTACAGAGATGGCGTCTTTGTAGTCCAAACCAGCAGCTCCGCTTTTCTCTGTGTTCTGTTGCTATAGTAATAGCCGATGTAATAGTAATAGATGGTGCTTCTTCACCTCGAGAGGAGCCGGTTGAGGTGGCTCGGGCATCTGGTCAGGATGCCTCCCTGATGAGGCGTTCTGGGCACATCCCATCAGGAGGAGGCCCCGGGGAAGACCTGCGACACGCTGGAGGGACTATGTTTCTCGGCTGGCCGGGGTTCACCCAGAAGAGCTCGGCATACCAGTCCCAACAACCACGCTGTTACAATAAAAAAATAAATAAATGCTACTACACAATTACAACATTAGGGATTGTAACCACCCATTTTAGAGCAAGCCAAGGCTGCCACCTGGTGGCAAAAGAGGAACACTAACTGTCAAATCAGTGTGGAATCACTGCTGCTGTGCGTCCTGGATGTCAGCATCTGGCTTTCCTGGAGCATGTTCACTATAAATCTGAGGTGCTCAATCTCCCACTTAAGCTGATCTTTTTTTTTTTTTACCAGCAAGGCTGCAGCAGTTTGATTTGAGGCTCTAGGACACTGAGCTGAGCACCCAAAACTGCTCAAAGCAGAGCTGAAGCTCCAAGGACATTTTGAATCAAAACATAATTACAAACTCTGGTAGAATTTTTCAGATTTTATTCCATATAAAGAACAGACATCAGGTTTACAAAAGTACTTAAGACTGTAGACCATAGTGAAAACAGTATAGAATTTCAAACAGTACTTTGGAAAAAACAGTATAGAAATATTTCACAACGACCACTTTGTAGTCACTTTTCAATAAGGTTTTTTAGCAGGGGTGTCCTCAGAGACTCGGCTCCCACAATTTTGCCAATTTAGCCCTTCACATTCCTACTGACGGCTGCAGCAAAACATCAACCTTGATCCGATATATTATGATTTCATGGTCTTTGGTTGGTGACTAAATAATTTTAGACATCATCATACAGTCATACCAGTGGAAAACTGCATCAAGCACACTGACCTATTTGGACTCCTTAAGTGTGAATCCCTCATTAGATGCTCACCAGCTGAGCTTTAATCAGATCTCCCCATAAACAAAAATATGATTTTAAAATAAGTTCAACAAAGAAAAGTTCAGTTATCAACCAAACACTACTGACAGCATCAATTTAAGATAAGCATTTACACTGGGTGAAACAAAAGCAGCATTTAACCCTATGTTAAATACACACTAGAAAGCAAGTCAAAAGCTTTGATTATGGAAACTTGGTCCTTTATGCAAATTCCAAATAATGTTCTGCCTTGATCGCCATCGACACTCCCTCCGCTCAGCCTCGGGCTCTTCCGACGAGAGCGAGAATGTAGAGGAAGATGTTGATGATGTCCATGTACAGGTTGATAGCAGCAAAGACATATTCCTCTGGGCTCAGAGCGAGCTCCTTGTTGCCAAGCAGCAGCTGGGTGTCCACAGCCAGGAACTGAAAGGCACAAAGGAGTTCAATGCCGGTCAAACACTTTCATGTACCTTATCTAAACATGTCAAAATCTGACTATACAGCTAAATATATTGTGTCAAAACGTAATGAACATAATAAACTGTTTGTCAAGTTCTTTTTTGATTTGTGCAGCTTCCCACTTGAGAAGGGATGGATGAATGGATGCAGACTTTTTAAAACAGGATTTTACTCAAAGGACCAAGCAGTTTTCTTCATTTTTATCCTTCATTTATTTAGTGCATGTCAGGATATTCCACATTTGGTCCAGAGCAGGTAAAAGCCTTTGGACAAACCCAAAAGAAAACAAGAAATAATTACTTAATTGTTTGCAAATTTACACAAATTAATTTCAATCAAACTACAAAGAAAACAAACCATATAAACAATACTAAGCAACCCACTGTGAATCAAACCCCCAAAATAACTAAAGTTAAATGAACAAGTAACTAAACTTAAGTTCCTTAACTTTAAAATACATTTCAAATTCATCTTTTCAATAACATATTTACATTTATTTAAATATACAACCATCACTTTTCAATATTAGTCATAAATATTAAGTTCATGAATATAAATAACTTTAAGATGTCATTTCTAATATAATGCTAAATTAATAAATAGCTAAGCTTAACATCTAAATTCATTATTCAAAATACAACAATCAGTTCATTCATAAAATCAATCAATCAATATTACTTCAGGCGTGTTGTAGTTGATGGTGTTAATGAGCAGGCAGAGCTGAAGTCCGACAGGAGATCATGAGTAGCTTTGCAGTCCGATCTCATCAACAATAAAGCTCGAGTCTTACCGGCTGTCTCTCTGCTCGTCTACAAGTTCATCCAGATCTGCAACTCGACCAGGATCTTTGATTGAAAGGGTCCACAAAAGGGTCCACAAACTCCCGATTTCTTTGTCTGGCTTTCTTTTCCGCGTTCCGCGTTCTTTTCCGCGTTCCGCGTTCTTTTCCGCGTTCCGCGTTCTTTTCCGCGTTCCGCGTTCTTTTCCGCGTTCCGCGTTCTTTTCCGCGTTGTCCGTCCCTCATTTAAGTCCGTGTGGAACACAGTGAGCGCATTTTTTTTTTTTTTCCCCAATTTGACTTCACACCTCCCACTCGATCTTTCCAGGAATCACTGGAAGATCGCAGATCCACTGTCACTTTCTGGGTTTTTTAATCCTCTTTGGCTTGACTTTGTGTTTGTTCTTCTACAGGTATTAAGACGATGAGCCTCCTAACATCCCTGTGAAGAATGGTGGTTTTCATTTTATCTTTCTTTGGTGGATGAGTTGATCTTTGCTTGACATGTTTGTTATAGGAGTGCAATAACTTGGGACAACCTGGACATTTACGTCCCTCACAACACCCTTGTTGTCGGGATTAGCACTTACAACTTTGCCCAGTATAAACTGTCCTCTAAGTGCATTTTGGTCACACAACCAGACAATGTCGCCAACAGCAACATTTCTTTGGGAAGTGTGCCATTTGCTCCTCACAAAAAGATTAGGACCAGCCAGCTGCCTCCAACTTTTCCAGAATTTAGTAACCTCATTTTGCATAGCGCCAAGTCGTTTGAATGAATAGCTGGAAAAGTCAAACATTTTTACATCACCTGTCTGGGATGCTCGGCCGAGCAAAAGGCTGTTAGGTGTGACATACTGAATACAACCCTCTCGACTCTGTAGTCTGGCATCAATGGGGCGCTCATTTGCTAGATTGGCAGCATTATAAAGAGCTGTGTGAAACTCACTAAAAGTTAGTGAGAATTCTTGACCAAGACTCTGGAAAGCTCTTTTCACAATGCCAACAGCAGCTTCAGCAGCTCCGTTTCTGTGAGGTGAGTCTGCAGGAAGGATTTTCCACACCCACTCAGTCCCATTCTTTGCTGCAGTTTCTTCCAAACCTGATATATTTTGGGTGCCCAGGTATCTATAGAGCTCCTCTAAAACTGGTTTTGCTCCAACAAAATTGGTGCCTGCATCAGACCAGATCTTTTGTGGGTGACCTCGGATTGCAGTAAATCTCTGATAAGCCATCAAGAAACTTTCAGTGGAAAGAGAGCTTGCCAATTCGGTGTGAATAGCTCTACTGGCCATACAGCAAAAGACAACACCCTAGACCTTAATTGTCACCCTTTTTTGACGTCATCTCTGACATGATAAGGTCCGAAGAGATCAACTGAAGTGAACTTGAAAGGAGGAGCAGGCTCAGTTCTCTCAGGTGGCAAATCACCCATCAACTGCTGGCACTTCAAAGCTCGAGCTTTCCTACAGACCATACAGCTATCAACAATCTTTTGGGCTATCCTTCGTCCTTTTACAACCCAGGCTTTTTTCCTCATCCTCAATAGGGTTCCAGCAATGTGCAGCATTGTGAGTGTGTGCACCCAACAGTGTTGACACCCAAGCATCATGGGGTATGATGGGAACTGCAACTCTATCTTCTCTAAAGATCTGTATTCTGCCACCACATACTAATAACCCAGATTCTTTGTCTTGATAAATCACCAACCTATCCATGGTTGTGTTAGGAAAGTTGGCACCCATCTGAGCAGTAAGGAAAATATCCCTGAGAGCATCTTCTCTTTCTCTCACAGAGACTACCCCTGCAGAGCAGACTGCCTCCCACTTTGGTTTATTCACAGCTTGATTTTTCCCTATAAATCTCTTTGCTGCTCTCCAAACCCAAACAATTGTCTTGACCAATAGTGTTAAACTGCTAAAGCGGCTAACATCTACCAGGTTCTGTATGGATATCGATGGCCGCTGCTTCTTTGCCAAGACCTCTGTTCGATTTTCAAGTGATTCTTGTTTGAACCCTGATTCCTTTATACTGGTTCTTGTGGTTACAGCAATGAATGCTTTCTTTTGCAGCTTTGTGATACTTTCTTTTGCATTGATGGCAATTTGCCTAGGTGATTTAATAGGCCAAATTTCAACTGGAGATTTTAAAAATGCTGGGCCTTGTTGCCACTTAGAGTTAAGATCAAGATCTTGAGGGCTGGCTCCTCGAGTAATGATGTCAGCAATATTTTGATCCCCAGGAATCCACCACCAATCTTGGATTCTTGTGTTGCTCTGGATCTCTCCAATCCTATTAGCAAAGAATGATTGGAACCCATAGCTTTCTCTCTGAATTGCTCCGAGAACTGTTTGACTATCAATGAGATGATACCACTTTTCAATTTTAATTTGGCAATGCATCTCAAAGTACTTCTTTAAGCGTGATGCAAACACTGCTCCACATATCTCTGCTTTAACAGCCTCACCTCTTTGTTCCAATGGAGTCAGCTTAGCCTTGGATTCCACCAGCCTAATGATTGGGTCTTGAGTTGATCCCCACCTCAGGTACAACACTGCTCCATAAGAACATTCGCTTCCATCTGAAAATGTAATAGCTAAAGAGTTATTACAGTTTTGAAAAGGAGTTAATGATCTGACAAACTGGATCTCACTGAGCTGAGAGTACTCTTCAAAAAGCTTAATAGCTTCTTCTCTAAGATCACTGGAGAGTGCCAAATCCCAGGTATCTTTTACTTGTTTACTCACATTCTTTGCCTCTTGGAAAGCTTTCCGTACTAGGATTGCTCCCTTTTGTTTCGCAGGAGTCACCAGGCCAATTGGATCATACAGACCAGACACCTGACTGAGGAGCTCTCGCCTTGTCAGAGGGTTTGGAGTTTGTCTTCTGATTTGGTCTTGCTGGAGGTCTTGTCCAAGTCGCATCTTTCTTTTCCTCTTTGAAAAATTTATGCTGACCATGACATGGAGTTTGTCCTCCTCGACAATGTACCCCAGACCGAGTGCTTTATTGTCCTCATCCCGCATTTGGTTTGGTAAAATCATGGTCTTTACTTTCTCCTCATCCTGCTTGTTGCTACAATTTTTCCTCCCACTTTGCCCAGAAAACACCCAGGGTTTTAGTTTGAAACCTCCAGCTTTGAGAATGCGCTCCACATTTTCTGTGATTTGCTTTAGTCTGTCGGGATCATTGTGGGACACTAGAATGTCGTCAACATAGCTGTTATTTTGAAGGACTTGTCGCTCCTCTACAAGGTGAATAAATGAGGGTAAACTTGCAGTTTCTCGCATCGCCAACTGTGCAATGCATCCTGCAGGTTTATCTCCAATGTTCACTCTTGTAATTGCATAGTCTCCAACCTTTTCATCCTCAGAGTCACGCCAAATAAACCTGTGCAGGTGAACTTCTCTTTCTTCCAGCCAAACAGAATTATACATTTTCTTTATATCTCCTAATGCAGCATAAGCTCCCTCTCGGAACCTTAATAGGACAGCACGGATCTGGTTCAGGACATCTGGGCCTTTTCTCAGCAGGTCATTCATACTTATCCCTTTAAATTTCTGACTGCTATTCCACACAAGTCTTACAGGAGTTGTCACCGAGTGTGGATTTGGAGCAATTAAGTGGCTTACATATCACACTGGGCCATTCCATTTGTTGATTACTTCCTCAGACAACTTAATTGCAGCTCCACGCTGAAGCATGTCATGCACTTGTTCAGTGTAGGTAGTTTTCCAGTCAGGTTCTTTAGCCAGTTGCTTCTCTGTTCTAAAAAAATGTAGCTTCAACTGCGTTTCTGTTGTTTGGAAGGGATGCTGGATCCTCCAACCATGGGTACCTAGCATGCCAGTGAGGTTCGTTTGTGTGGCTGTCTCCTTCATTGTAGGTGAGGCCTTCCTTCACTACCTCTAGCTCCCTTTCTTCAGCGAGCGTCATCGACTTTCCTCCCGGCTGACATTTCCACACCGACAACCTCCACACTTAGACTCACAAGCCGCGCCAATACTGTCCCATCTCCACCACTCCAGGAAATCCCGGCTTGAAGTTGCAGTGCTTGATGCTTTCAGCTGGATAGAGACCTGGTGATTTAATGGTGAATTCTGTGGGATTTCATTAATTAATTCTTCATATTTGGCAGCAGCTGTCCTCATTGACCTTGCAAAGTGGGTTTTGGTGGAATAAGCAGTCATGGCAAGCTCCTCAAACAATTCTGGATGAGTTCCTCCAACCACTTTTCCTAAGGGACCATCCCACAGTACAAGGTTCCCCACAACTCTAATCCTTTGTGGTGTTAACTGACCTTCCCTATGGCTTATAAGTAATCTTATTTCTCTAGGTCTTTCAAGTTCATCCAGTGGTACATCTGGAAAAAATCTTTGCAGCTGCTTTGCTTTAACATGCTTATGAATGTCTGCAATACTGTCAAGTCCATAGCAAACAAGCTGGTAAGGTTTAAGGGTGCCTTTGGAGGTCTTCACACAATCTTCAAAAGATAACGTTTTGTCTCCACACAAACTTTCATCCCCCCAACTCCATGGACAATGAGCGTGATCTCTTCACTCTTAAGATTTAATCTGCTTGCAGCCTTGTGTGTTATGTAATTTGTATCTGATGCAAGATCAATTAATGTGCCAATTTTTTGACCAGCATTTGCAGTTACTTCAAGGAGCATCATTAACACTGGCAGTTCCTGCACTCCACTGTCCATCAGGAGATTTAACTGATTTTGAGTTGTATTGAAAGTTCTAGATGCAGTGTTTGAAAATACATCTCTACAGTCTTTAGCCAACTCAGGTGACAATTTCTTAAGAAATTCTTCTTGCTCCTCTGTATACTTTCTGCTGCTTTTGTCTTCTTCTCTGCCGAATCGGTTCCTCCTCTGGGCTGTGTTGCTTTTCTTAGCTTCAAAACTTGGGCATAGATAATAGTGATGTGGATCATCTCCATTCCTGCAGCTTTGATTCTTGCACAAGAATCCAGGTTTGCAGTATGATTTGTCATCATGTATTTCCAAACACTTTCTACATGCGCCAATTTTATTAACAGCAGCTTTTTCTCAGTTAATGTTAATGCTCTGAACTGTTTACAAAAGTAAAGTCTTTTTCTGTGTTTTCCGTCACCACAGACAACACAGTTTGCAAAGTCATCAACTGCTTTGACTGACTTGGTTCTAGCATGTCTTTGCTCCATTCGGGTCTCTCGTCTACTTGACTCTTCCTCTCTCAGTTGCTCTAGTTGCTCATAAATATTTTCTTGATCTTTCAGAAATGCAAGCAGGTGATCAAATCGATTCTCTGGTGTCACAGCATTCCTTTTATCAGCTGCATAAACAGCCATTCCTTCTTCAAAACTTCAGGGAGCTTAGTTTCAATTGACTTTGTAACCAGAGGGTTCTTAATAGCTCCAGTATTTCCAAGATCACTTAAATCCTTAAGAGCTTTTTCAACAGCTTGGATCAACTCCACGATTCTTCTTGGCTGGTGACCTCTAACTGCAGGAATTCTCTGTAGCTCTTCCACAATTTCAATTGCAATAGAGGTCTGATTTCCATACCGGTTTTCAAGGACTTGAAAAATATCTTCTGGAGTGCTATAGGAGGTTAAGCGAAGGTCTCTCGTGATTTTCTCATCCAGACTGTCCAGCAGCTGCACTTTCTTCACTTCTTTTGAACCAGTTGGTTCTCCTTGTTTTTGAAGTGCTTCCCAGTCTTTTCTCCATCTATAAAAGTCACGTTTGTTTCCAAAAAACTTTGGGAGAGAAGTTGGTTTCAGCTTGATGGTTGGTAAAGAATAATTTTGGGAAGTTACAATTTGATCTTTCTTTTCTTCATCTTTTAGCTTTGCATGAATGAACTCTGCTGTCCTGGAAACCAGCTTGGGGACACTAAGTTCCAATTCTCTCAGACGATCTTGGATTTCATCTCGTGCTCCATGAGGGATCCATCTTTTCCAGTGACAATGAGCTTCTTTTGCAGCCTTTAAGAGTTCCCTCAGGTGGTTAAGGGTGAAGTCATATGCTTCCTTCTCCACTCCTGGTTTGATAGTGGCAGCATGTTCACATTCTAATTCCGCTACTTGAAGTGCAACTAACAGTTCAGTTTTTCCAAAGGTTCTCCACAGGGTCTCCTGGATTAAGCCTTTGACTTCTCTTACTTTTTCTTCACACTCATTTGCAGTCTTTTCCAGGTCAGATTTCTGCTGTTCAGTCAGTGTGACTCCATCATCTTCACCAAAGTTGGATTCCAATTCTGCGATGAGACTTGCTTCGAGATCATCATTTGCCGTCATTACTTTTCCAGCCTCTATGTTGAGCTTGTGGAAACTGTCCTTTAGTTCCTCTTCAGTCATGTCCTCATGCGTCCGAGTTATGTTGTTGATCAATCGAGTCAACAATCTTTTTGCTGTCGTTCTTTCCATCTTTGCCTGAACAACAGACTTTCCATCAGCTGAATCCGCCATCTTTTGAAACAGTTCTTTTTCCATCAGCAGTTGCGTCCGGTTTTTACTGTCAAGTTCTTTTTTTGATTTGTGCAGCTTCCCCACTTGAGAAGGGATGGATGAATGGATGCAGACTTTTTAAAAACAGGATTTTACTCAAAGGACCAAGCAGTTTTCTTCATTTTTATCCTTCATTTATTTAGTGCATGTCAGGATATTCCACATTTGGTCCAGAGCAGGTAAAAACCTTTGGACAAACCCAAAAGAAAACAAAGAAATAAATTACTTAATTGTTTGCAAATTTACACAAATTAATTTCAATCAAACTACAAAGAAAACAAACCATATAAACAATACTAAGCAACCCACTGTGAATCAAACCCCCAAAATAACTAAGTTAAATGAACAAGTAACTAAACTTAAGTTCCTTAACTTTAAAATACATTTCAAATTCATCTTTTCAATAACATATTTACATTTATTAAATATACAACCATCACTTTCCAATATTAGTCATAAATATTAAGTTCATGAATATAAATAACTTTAAGATGTCATTTCTAATATAATGCTAAATTAATAAATAGCTAAGCTTAACATCTAAATTCATTATTCAAAATACAACAATCAGTTCATTCATAAAATCAATCAATCAATATTACTTCAGGCGTGTTGTAGTTGATGGTGTTAATGAGCAGGCAGAGCTGAAGTCCGACAGGAGATCATGAGTAGCTTTGCAGTCCGATCTCATCAACAATAAAGCTCGAGTCTTACCGGCTGTCTCTCTGCTCGTCTACAAGTTCATCCAGATCTGCAACTCGACCAGGATCTTTGATTGAAAGAGTCCACAAACTCCCGATTTCTTTGTCTGGCTTTCTTTTCCGCGTTCCGCTTTCTTTTCCGCGTTGTCCGTCCCTCATTTAAGTCCGTGTGGAACACAGTGAGCGCATTTTTTTTTTTTTTTTTTTCCCCAATTTGACTTCACACTGTTTGTCAGGGCTTTTTGTCATTGACTTGGATACTTTGGTAGTATTTCTACTGAGGCAATCGGAGAACAGAAGGAGACGTTATGAACGATGACATCAATTTCCTTCGCGGTTTTAGAATTGGAGTCTGTCTGTAGTTTTAGCAACGGCAGCGAAGTGACCGGAGCCGTTTAGTTCAGGTTTGCCACACTTACAAATTCTGAACTGAATTCAATTTAATAGATGGGTACTTTGGACAATTTCCGCTAAGTGTCATAGCATTGAATTGGCGCCTTATACATGTCACGGTCAAACGTTAGTGCTGATATAAACAGAGCCCAGTCCAGATTCTCTGTAGGCATTATAGAAAATTTTTTAAACCAGACCAGTTTAGTCCAGTAATCTTAAATAAAACCAAACAACCGTTCCCCCTCATAAGTCCCTTAATATTAAACAGAGAGCTTTTCCGACAGGTTAGAGAATGTACTTTGGCATTTTCTTGCCTCCCATCATCACTTTCTGTGTTAAATTAAATTCTGGATTAATAAGGGTTGTTGTGATGGTGTTGTACAGTGCTTTAAGATCTTGTTCAATGTGGCCTTTTTTTCTTTTTAACTTTGAGCCCCTGCCCCTCCAAAGGTCTCTGCACGGCCCTGATGTTAGCATCTGGTTTTTCTGGAGCATGGACTAGGTAAATCTCAGGCACTCAATCTCCCATTTAAGTTGATTGATTTTTACCAGCAAGGCTGCAGAGTTTGATCTAGACTCATCATGAGGCTCTAGGCCACAGAGCTGAGCACCCAAAACTGCTCAAAGCAGAGCTGAAGCTCCAAGGACATTTTGAATCAAAACAAACTCTGGTAGAAGGCATTTTTAAACTTTATTCCATGTAAAGAACAGACAGGTTTGCAAAAGTACTTAAAAGTACTTAGGACTGTAGACCATAGTGAAAACAGTATAGAATTTCAAACAGTACTTTGGAAAAAACAGTATAGAAATATTTCACGACCACTTTGTAGTCACTTTTCAATAAGGTTTTTTAGCAGGGGTGTCCTCAGAGACTCGGTTCTCACAATTTTGCCAATTTAGCCCTTCACATTGAGAGCTTCTGCAAAACATCAACCTTGATCCGATATTTGGTTGAGGTTTGGTTGATATTTGGGACTTTGGTTGGTGACTAAATCATTTTAGACATCCTATCAGTGGAAAACTGCATCAAGCACTCTGACCTATTAGCACTCCTTAAGTGTGAATGCCTCATTAGATGCTAGCCAGCTGAGCTTTTATCAGATCTCCCATAAAGAAAAATATGATTTTAAAATAAGTTCAACAAAACACTACTTCAATTTAAGAGAAGTGTTTGCACTGGATGAACCAGCCTTTAACCATATGTGAAATGTGAAATGCACTCTGTAAATGCCAGTCGGGAAGTAAAGATTTCTTGATTTTGTTGAGAGCAGTGATTTGATTGACTAATTTAACAGCAGAATGGACTTTTTTTTTCTTTTGCACATTATTTTATTTGAATCTTTGAAATTAATCTAACGGAAACAGAAATGAATTGTGGGCAGGTTCTGTTGAGCATGATGATGTCACATAAACTGATTAGTCATCAGGCGCTTTTGGAACTTTTGTCAATAAAAGAGGAGTTCCTACAGGAATTTATCCATTTGAAGAGTTCGTCTCAGACAGATTACTTCAAGAAATTTCATTGAGCTTCAGTTTTGCAAGTAAGTATTTATTTAGAAATTAGTGAGGCAAAGAAGAAAAGTTGAATTTTGTGAAGGAATTGTGAAGCGATGTTGCAGATAGGTCAACATCAAACCATTTTACAAATTTTTTGATGAAAATATCAAATGTCTCATTTGTGTTTTAGTGTCTTTTTGCATGTTTGCTAAGTTTGTTGAGTATTGAAACATGCAGTTTTTTATGCAAAAAAATTGGTTTTCCCTAAGGTTTTATAGCTAGTTGATGATTTTCACACATGAAATGATAGATTTAATATAATAGGTAACTAAATGATCATTAAATTTACAGTGTTTACTATAAAAATGACTTTCTGTAGAGTTGTGTTGTACATTTTAGACATGCTTTGTGCAAGTCATTGACCACTTTTGCGTGTCTGGTTTTTTTTTCACAGTCATGCAAAGATCAAGTGAACGTTTGTTAAGGAACGGCTACTATGATATATATGGACAACCAGTTATTTCCTACAGGGAAACAGCAGTGAGGTATATTAAATCAGCAATTTTTTTTTTAACTCTTATGTCTTATGCAGTCATCTGCTGATCAATGTACATATTTACTCACTTGTATTTTTTCCATCTTGGGTCAGGAGGAGGTACATTACAGGTCGCCCTGTAAGTCCCCCTAGAAACCGCCCGGAACCGCCCGGCAAACCGCCCAGCAAATCGCCAGCAAACCGCCCAGCAAACCGCCCAGCAAACCGCCCGACAAATGAGAGATATCATTAAGAGAGAGGCATCAGACTCGTGCGGTGCAAATTATTTTGGACCGAGAAAACCAGATGATAGACTGTCTGATAAACATTCGCCATATCACCCGCTTATTCTTTTTCACCTTCGTCACTTGTGGTAAATACTCTCCCACAAACAATCCGTTTGGAAGTGTTACAGAAAGTCTGTATTTTGAAATTCGTCTCACTGTTGTCTTCTGCTCATGTTCATCAGCTTGTCTTTGGTGGATTATTTGCCCACGACCGTCTAAGATGTCTCTTACAACAACTATGACAGACATGGTAGGCTTTCTCTTCCTAATCCTGACACTGATTTAATTATCATGAACAAACATGAGAACAAGCTGTTAACTTTTATGTTGTGCACAGGGTCCAATCTCTGGAGTTGAGGATCAGGGACATCTCTCCAGGCTGCAGATGTTGGAGAAAAAAATTAACTACCTTCTACCAGAAGTAGACCTTTGGCCAAACTTTGCTCTCCACTCTCAAGGTGACCCATTACAAATAAGATCATCAACTAGATTGCACATTTTCAGTATTAAATTTTTCTGACTCACATTATTTCTCTTCTTGTGTTTGTGTATAGGAGCAACGATTTTGTACAAAAAAACAGAGTCATGTGAAAGCCATATTGGATGTAGAATACTTGGGTGCCTATCAGGGCACCAGCTATAGATGCAGACATTGTTATTCAGGTCTTAATGACACTTAGATTATTCAAGAAATATTAGGAAAAAAGTGATGTTTTTGTTGATATAATATTAGGCCTTATGATTTCCTTTTCTCTTAGTCTTGGTACCCCACCTAAACTTTGTTTTGTTCTCTGTTTTCAGGGAAGAACTCATCTGCATCCTGGACAATGCTGGGCCTTTTCAGGCTTCCCGGGACGTTTGGCCATCTCATTGTCTCACACAGCCATCATCAGACATGTGTCCCTGGGCCACATTCGAAAGATTGTGTCCCCAACGTCCTCCGTCTCCAGTGCTCCTAAAGAGTTTTCTGTCTTTGTAAGTCAAGTGAAACGAGTGTCAAAACTGTAATATATATATATATCCACCTATTGCATATTTTAAGTATACTTGTGATAGCATTGATTCCGTATGACATCACTTGATCTCATTCTAAATGATGCAAACATTCTGCCTGCACTAATGAATTTTCTGCTTATCTCAGGAAGTGATATGTTTTCAGCTACACCAACTAACTTTCACATTTCTAGAAAGAACAAGATAATGAACTGGATTCTATCTAATTTTGTCTCAGGGAAAGAAGAATTTAGAAGATGAGGAAACTCATTTGGGAACTTTCATATATGACGAAAATGGAGACCAAATTCAGACCTTCAAACTTTCTGTAAATATGTCAAATTAATGTTTTATATCCAAATACATTTCACTCAGAAGCCCAGACTGACTGACCCTGTTATAAATATTGATTGTTTTTCCTAAACTGGGTATTAATAGCATTCAATATACAAAAAAATACTTTAAATAAAATGGCAGATACGTATTATTGTTCCGTTCAAAATGCTCCACTAAAAATTTCTATTTAAACCATAAAAATTATGTTAATGCTGCACTCCCAGAGCTCTCGAGTGAGACTGCAACTGATAGAAAGCATTGAAAAAAATAATCAGTTAGTCAACTTTGTAGCAATTATGTCGTCTAGAAATAGTGCCTAGATGCATCACCAGGCTCCACCTGCATATGCAGCCACAGAAAGCTTTGTTATCGAACCCTAACTATTCCAAAACACAGAGATACGGAGCGATCAACTTGAACAGATGCAAACAAAAAAAACAGTTGATATTTTTGGCCATCTCTTGAGGACAATATTTTTTTCTTGGCATAAATCTTGTTGAAAGAATACATCAACTTTTATTATGTCTTGACAACAACAAAAAAAAGTCAACCTCTTATGACAAAACAATCATTTTGACATCTCATGATAAAAAACCAACAAAAAATCCCAGTGTTACTACATAACAGTTTGTTTTAGCAAGATATCAACATACTTCCCTTGCTATCTTGAGAAATACTATGCAAAATATTTTTATAGCAAGGCCAGTTGAACTAGGCTTCCATGCACTTTAAGACAGACCTCCTTTGTTTCTATTGTCTATTTGCAGCTATGGATTACCAATCTAACCTCCCTAATTTGTATCTCTCTTGGCTTACAGGCTGATAAAGTTGGCCCCTACAACCATGTTACACTACAGGTGAACAGCAACTGGGGAGAATCGGGCTACACCTGCCTCTACGACTTCAGAGTGCATGGAGATCTAGCCAAAGAATGAGGTCAACAAGGAGGAAAGGGTGTAAGATAGGAAAGGGGAAAAAGTACATTTTTTTCTTTGATATATTTTTTGTAGATGTTTTTGGGAATTAATTATAAATCCTGATTAAAACAGTTACACCACTCATCTATAAGTAGACAATCAAATGAAGATGAAAAAACAACACACACACACATCCATGAAGGCTCTCAGACAGGTACCACAGGAACAGAAAACATTTTCTTGTTGCCCCCCATCTTGGTGCCTGCATGTTGGGGTTTACTGCGGTGAGCAAGAGGGAAGTTCAGAGAACTCACCCTTTCTGGAGTCCTTGGAGGGTGTACTGGAGTGTACCCCTCAGGGATTCCCTTGTTCTAGTGGAGAACTTCAACAAGGCAATGGGCAATGACAGTGAGACCTGGAGAGATGTGGTTGGGAGGAATGGTCCCAGAGATCTAAACTCGTGAACTTCTGGGTTCTCTCCGGGTCCTCCAGTTTCTTCCCACAGACATCACAAAGTGGCATGCATGGGTTCTCTCCGGGTGCTCCGGCTTCCTCCCGCAGACATAAAAGTAGCATGTGTGGGTTCTCCCCGGGTCCGCCAGTTTCTTCCCACAGACATCACAAATTGGCATGCATGGGTTCTCTCCGGGTCCGCCAGCTTCTTCCGACAGACATTATAAATTGGCAACAATGGGTTCTCTCTGTTGGTGCACCAGCTTCTTCCCAAAGCATAAAAGTAGCATGCATGGGTTCTCTCTGGGTGCTTCACCTTCCTCCCACAGACATCATAAATTGGCAACAATGGGTTCTCTCCGGGTCCGCCAGCTTCTTCCCACAGACATCACAAATTGGCATGCATGGGTTCTCTCCGGGTGCTCCGGCTTCCTCCAGCAGACATAAAAGTAGCATGTGTGGGTTCTCCCCGGGTCCGCCAGCTTCTTCCCACAGACATCACAAATTGGCAACAATGGGTTCTCTCTGGGTCCGCCAGCTTCTTCCCACAGACATTATAAATTGGCATGCATGGGTTTTCTCCGGGTGCTCTGGCTTCCTCCCGCAGACATAAAAGTAGCATGTGTGGGTTCTCTCCGGGTCCGCCAGCTTCTTCCCACAGACATCACAAATTGGCAACAATGGGTTCTCTGGGTCGCCAGCTTCTTCCCACAGACATCAAAAATTGGCATGCATGGGTTCTCTCCGGGTCCGCCAGCTTCTTCCCGACAGACATATAAATTGGCAACAATGGGTTCTCTCTGGGTGCACCAGCTTCTTCCCAAAGACATAAAAGTAGCATGCATGGGTTCTCTCTGGGTGCTTCACTTCCTCCCACAGACATCATAAATTAACAATGGGTTCTCTCCGGGTCCGCCAGCTTCTTCCCACAGACATACAAATTGGCATGCATGGGTTCTCTCCGGGTGCTCCGGCTTCTCCGCAGACATAAAAGTAGCATGCATGGGTTCTCTCCGGGTGCTCCGGCTTCCACCCGCAGACATAAAAGTAGCATGTGTGGGTTCTCTCCGGGTCCGCCAGCTTCTTCCCACAGACATTATAAATTGGCAACAATGGGTTCTCTCTGGGTGCGCCAGCTTCTTCCCAAAGACATAAAAGTAGCATGCATGGGTTCTCTCTGGGTGCTTCGCCTTCCTCGCACAGACATCACAAATTGGCAACAATGGGTTCTCTCCGGGTGCTCCGGCTTCCTCCCGCAGACAAGAAAGTAGCATGTGTGGGTTCTCCCCGGGTCCGCCAGCGTCTTCCCACAGACATCACAAATTGGCATAAAGGGTTCTCTCCGGGTCCGCCAGCTTCTTCCCACAGACATCATAAATTGGCAACAATGGGTTCTCTCTGGGTGCGCCAGCTTCTTCCCAAAGACATAAAAGTGGCATGCATGGGTTCTCTCCGGGTGCTCCGGCTTCCTCCCGCAGACATAAAAGTAGCATGTGTGGGTTCTCTCCGGGTCCGCCAGCTTCTTCCCACAGACATCATAAATTGGCATGCATGGGTTCTCTCCGGGTGCTTCGCCTTCCTCCCACATCAAAAACACAATTGTTAGGTTAATTCTCCATGTGTTACATGGTCATTTGTCCTGTGTCTCACTGCATTGCCCTGGGATGGTTTGGCAACCGGCACAATTCCATGTTCAGGTTCTCTTTTTGCACCATTTAAAATGGAAACACTGACACTTTTACATAAACTGGTGGTACATTTACCATAAACTGTCTGAGAGCATTAACATATTCAACCACAAACATAAACTGTGAAAACAGTGCATCTTCATGTCTTAATCAAAATTAAAGATTGTCTGTCCAGGTTATGGAATACAGCAACATGACTTTGTAGATAATGATGCACTAACACAATTCTTTAAGTTATTTCACAGATATGAAGTTTAACTTTTTGTTTCATGTTATTCTTTCGGACTGATTCCAGTGAGAGGTAGTTTACTGCTACAGGCTCAGACTATTTTCTGTCAATATCTATTGTATAGACTTTCCCAGATCTCCCTTTTGTAACATGTGTATTGTAAACTAATATTGTAATTGAATCTGTCTTTCTTTCAGAAGGTTTGTTGACAGTTTTGTGTTTGTGTGTTTTTTTTATTTTTGCCCTCTTGAAGCCAGCCAGCCTCGGCAGATGGCTGCTCATCCTGAGCCTGGTTCTGCTGGAGGTTTCTTTTTAAAGGGAGTTTTCCTCTCCACTGTTGCCTTGTGCTTGCTCAGGAGGGGGATCCCTTGGATTAAACATCCATCGCGATCTGCTGGTGACCCCTCCGCAGAATCGCCACCTTAACGTGGTGGAGGGGTTTGAGTATCCCCATGACCCAGATGGAGATTTTGTCTTGGGGTTCAGCCAATAGTGAGGCTTCCCAGGGCAGGCTGCCATTGGGGAGGGATCAGACTAAGAGCGATTCAAGGTTTTCAATGAAGGGCTACCAAAGGAATCAGGTATTTCTAGGACACAGACAGTTATCCAAGTACGGTTTTGCCGGAAGTTTCTCCCTATAAAAAGTCAGTAATCTTCTTCACTGATAAAAATGACAATGAATTCACTGTACTCCAATGCCCTCCTGTGACTGCTAATTGTGCTTCCATTAAGGTACCAGAATGTGAGGGTCCTAAAGTCACATGGGGACTTTGGTCTCTTTGGGCCAACGAGTGAGCAGTGTGAGACTAAGTGGAGATTGGAGCCAAATGCACAGGCGTGGAAGGTTCTGGCTCAATACTTGGAGAGGAGCTGCTCACCCACACTTGAAGGAGGTCCACATCTTGGAGAAGTTGCCTACTCCTTGGCGGGGTCAATGGGTCCATGTTTGAAGGAGAACTGCACATGACAGAGGGCCAGAAGGAGGCGTGCACATGTCAGTTCAGTGGTTCAAAATGCCAAAATGCCTGGGCTTCTGCCTACATTCTCTGGACTTGTGTTTTAAAAATAAAAGCCTCTAAATTACTTCAAATGGTTACCGTGTTGTGTCCATTCATTTTACCTTTACAGTCTCACTATTTGCACAGTCCTTCCAACCTACACATAGCTGAATGTGAGAAACTGCCACATAGCATGGCATGTGGGTACACCAACAATGACAGACATTTGGCTTGCATTTCTCCATGTTGTCATCTTAAGTAAGAATGTCATTTCATCATGGTAATGTCACAGTCAGTTTCCGCAAGCTACCTCTCTGTACAAGAGTACAACAGGAATCAAGAAATAGTGAAAAATTAAAATTTAGAAAGGTTCTTAAATTTCTTAAATAATCTTAAATAAGCTACAATGAGCCAAAATTATTTTCTTCATTCCACTATGTCTGCAGTTCTAACATTCTGCTCAGCCTTCTTCTGCAATAACTCAGAGTGCCACCATTATTGTAGTTCTTAACTGCTAACTCAGCCCTCGCCTGAGGTAACTGAGTGATCCACCATGTCTGTAGTTCTAACCTTCAATCATTGTCATTCTAAAACACCAATATTAATGTACCGCCTGAGGCACTGCACCACTCTGAGAGGTAAATAGAGGCATTTATTTTCAGATTTTCAGTAAGCTATATTTTAAATGGCCACATTAGTGTTCCGTCATAGTTAGAACTACAGAGATGGCGTCTTTGTAGTCCAAACCAGCAGCTCCGCCTTTCTCTGTGTTCTGTTGCTATAGTAATAGCCGATGTAATAGTAATAGATGGTGCTTCTTCACGTCGAGAGGAGCCGGTTGAGGTGGCTCGGGCATCTGGTCAGGATGCCTCCCTGATGAGGCGTTCTGGGCACACCCATCAGGAGGAGGCCCCGGGGAAGACCTGCGACACGCTGGAGGGACTATGTTTCTCGGCTGGCCGGGATTCAACCAGAAGAGCTCGGCATACCAGTCCCAACAACCACGCTGTTACAATAAAAAAATAAATGCTACTACACAATTACAACATTAGGGATTGTAACCACCCATTTTAGAGCAAGCCAAGGCTGCCACCTGGTGGCAAAAGAAGAACACTAACTGTCAAATCAGTGTGGAATCACTGCTGCTGTGCGTCCTGGATGTCAGCATCTGGCTTTCCTGGAGCATGTTCATTATAAATCTGAGGTGCTCAATCTCCCACTTAAGCTGATCTTTTTTTTTTTTTTACCAGCAAGGCTGCAGCAGTTTGATTTGAGGCTCTAGGACACTGAGCTGAGCACCCAAAACTGCTCAAAGCAGAGCTGAAGCTCCAAGGACATTTTGAATCAAAACATAATTACAAACTCTGGTAGAATTGTTCAGACTTTATTCCAAATAAAGAACAGACATCAGGTTTACAAAAGTACTTAAGACTGTAGACCATAGTGAAAACAGTATAGAATTTCAAACAGTACTTTGGAAAAAACAGTATAGAAATATTTCACAACGACCACTTTGTAGTCACTTTTCAATAAGGTTTTTTAGCAGGGGTGTCCTCAGAGACTCGGCTCCCACAATTTTGCCAATTTCCCTTCACATTCCTACTGACGGCTGCAGCAAAACATCAACCTTGATCCGATATATTATGATTTCATGGTCTTTGGTTGGTGACTAAATAATTTTAGACATCATCATACAGTCATACCAGTGGAAAACTGCATCAAGCACACTGACCTATTTGCACTCCTTAAGTGTGAATCCCTCATTAGATGCTCACCAGCTGAGCTTTAATCAGATCTCCCCATAAACAAAAATATGATTTTAAAATAAGTTCAACAAAGAAAACTTCAGTTATCAACCAAACACTACTGACAGCATCAATTTAAGATAAGCATTTACACTGGGTGAAACAAGAGCAGCATTTAACCCTATGTTAAATACACACTAGAAAGCAAGTCAAAAGCTTTGATTATGGAAACTTGGTCCTTTATGCAAATTCCAAATAATGTTCTGCCTTGATCGCCATCGGACACTCCCTCCGCTCAGCCTCGGGCTCTTCCGACGAGAGCGAGAATGTAGAGGAAGATGTTGATGATGTCCATGTACAGGTTGATAGCAGCAAAGACATATTCCTCTGGGCTCAGAGCGAGCTCCTTGTTGCCAAGCAGCAGCTGGGTGTCCACAGCCAGGAACTGAAAGGCACAAAGGAGTTCAATGCCGGTCAAACACTTTCATGTACCTTATCTAAACATGTCAAAATCTGACTATACAGCTAAATATATTGTGTCAAAACGTAATGAACATAATAAACTGTTTGTCAGGGCTTTTTGTCATTGACTTGGATACTTTGGTAGTATTTCTACTGAGGCAATCGGAGAACAGAAGGAGACGTTATGAACGATGACATCAATTTCCTTCGCGGTTTTAGAATTGGAGTCTGTCTGTAGTTTTAGCAACGGCAGCGAAGTGACCGGTCCGTTTAGTTCAGGTTTGCCACACTTACAAATTCTGAACTGAATTCAATTTAATAGATGGGCACTTTGGACAATTTCCGCTAAGTGTCATAGCATTGAATTGGCGCCTTATACATGTCACGGTCAAACGTTAGTGCTGATATAAACAGAGCCCAGAGTCCAGATTCTCTGTAGGCATTATAGAAAATTTTTTAAACCAGACCAGTTTAGTCCAGTAATCTTAAATAAAACCAAACAACCGTTCCCCCTCATAAGTCCCTTAATATTAAACACAGAGCTTTTCCGACAGGTTAGAGAATGTACTTCGGCATTTTCTTGCCTCCCATCGTCACTTTCTGTGTTAATGGCCTTTAAATTGTTTTGAAAGTGACAAGTAATTACAGATTCAGAAAATATTAGTGTTTTCAAGACTAAAATTGTGTTGAGAGGGGAGAAGTCTGCTTTGAACTTTGATCCCATTAGTCAGTCAGAACCAGATGAAAAATCTAGGTATTAATATTGTTCTTATTCCAAAGAGAAACTAAATTAAAAAAACAAAACAAAAAGTAAAATCTGTTTTTGCACAATTTGTTATGCAAAATACAACACACTAGATAACATAATTACAGAAGTTGTGACCACGGAGTTGAAAAGCCAATGTAGAAACATTCTGAGGTTTTAGTCTGAGAGTACAAATGTTCCATACTGAGTGAACAGATTAGGGAAATAAGAAAGACAAAACAAATTCAAAGTAGAAAACAGAAACCACTGTCTCCAGATTTCTTTACGACCTTGGTAAAGGTCCAACTAAAACCTCGAAACAAAGAAATGTTTTAATGCTGAAGTGTTTTATCCCACACATTTTAAGTCAGTTGACTCTTGAAATGTGGGAGATAAGGACTTCTAATCAAACAAAAATTAAGGGAAGAGACTTCTTGCTGGCAGAAGTCTGTTCCCTATAAAATATATGATAATATACAAAAAAATATTTCTTGATTAGTAAATATTTTTATGTAAGTCATACCATCACATTTTCTTATTAGAGAACAAAGACTTTTTGGTACCCTCAAATCTTTGGAATTAAATGGTCAAAACCACAAAGGATAAAAATGGCGAATGGGTTAAATGATCTTTATCCCTCACTGATAGAATAAGGGTAGTTTTATTTCCTAAAAAGACAAAAACTGCAAAAGCATAAAACATTGCAGAGGTAAAATGAACCACACACAGCTTTTAGTTCCAGGTCTCTGCAGGAGCTATGCTGGGTTAGAAGCTGAAAACACTCAACAACTGCCTCAAATAATTACTAAAAGTTGAAATTATGCTTACAAAATGTTTTTAAAAAAGTATTTAGAGATATGTTTGGTTTTAACGTTAAAGATGAATGCACAATCCTAAAACAGCCATCTGTTCTGAAATGATTGGAGAATGGCTGATCGACGTTGTGCAATCAAAACCGGCATTACATTAAATAGGAAAAAAAAATCTGATTTCTTTCAGCAGGTTTGCTAACCAGTAGCATCAAACAGCCATAAAACAGAGGATCAGATTCACCTTATTTAGTATGAATGTGTGACAAAAAGGACTCACTGCTGTGAAGAGCAAAGCTCCCAGTCCAGCGTAGACAATCTGCAGGATGTTGTTTTGCAGAAAGATGCAGAGGATGCTGAAGAGAATCAGGACCAGCAAACAAACAAAAAGCACGCCGTAACAGGAAGTGAAGTCATACTTGGTCTGTGGGCCACAAACAAGATTAGCAATCAGAGCACTGCAATTTCTCTGTGAGAGTACGTAACTCACAAATGGGGATGCTGAGGGATACAAACCTGCATGGAGAAAATGACCACCGTAAAACAAACGAAGGCAGTGATTCCCACCGCCATGATCACAGCCTCGGTTTCGTGGAAGCTGGCAATGGTACCCACCATGTAGGAAATGCTGAGCGTCAGGATGGACTGGACACCAGACAAAAGCAGCAGAACATTGATCCAGACATCATTTTAGGAGTAAAATAGAAATACTGCTTCATCTCTTATTTCGTCAGATTATGGCTTAAACAAATCTTTTATGACGAAGTCAACTCCACCTGCAACTTTTCTCCGCAGAAGCGGCCCTGAAATCATCATGAAACACCACGCGATTTCCTGTGCTGAAACCATCTCATGCGTTTCCTATTGTGAAAATCAGCTTGTCTTACCAACGCCACCAGATTCCAGGGGTGTCTTCGGCGGACATTTCCGCAGCAGCTGATCGCGAAAACCGACCCCAAAAACACTCCATAGGACAATAAATATGTCCACATGTGGTCTATAACAAAAAACTTCACTTGGTGTACAAAGGTGAAGACAGCCACAAATCCGAATGTCACCATGAGCTGAGCGGTTAACACCAAGTACACCTGCAGGGAAAAACAAGAACACCTTAGGAGATATAGTCAGCTAGGGAACCGAGGCAGAATTACAATCAATTTTGTCATTGCAATATTCCACCATCATGCCGTAACTGCATATTTTCATAACATCCAGCAGCGCTGGAATACATTTTTCAAAATGAATGCTTTGCTGTTAAGCAGTGTATTCAGTTTGCCAACTATAGCTACATTATTAAGAGTGATCCTCTCCTTTAATTTACACACAGTGATTGCCTACATCAGTCTTTCCAAACAGCTGAATTAATCTGTCTTGTATTTCTTGGTTTTATTTTCACCCAGCTGACAATCAGTGCACAGCAGCATGTGGGAGAGGTACATGGTGCCTCTCCAACATCACATGTGACTTTTATAGACATCACATCAAATGGGCTTTAAACCATGAGAACGATGGCAAATTGGAACAGCTTTGAAACGCTTACTTTTACTGTCCTATTAATTATGCAAAACATTTGAATCATCCATAATATTTCGTGTTGGAAGGAAAAGATTATCTAGTTTAAGTTGTGTGGCTTAAAATTTGTTTTATCTCATTGTCTTACCTTTCTAATAAAGGCCCTTCTTATGCTCTTGTTGTCTAATCCAAAATCAAAGTCTTGATTCTCATTGAAGGGTGGAGGAGCTTCCTCACTGAGGTAAGGATTCCCTAAAATGTCAACAGAATAATCTAATTGTTAAAGCCATACCATCACCACAATCAGTGTAACTAAAGGCGTAGAAACACTCACCACCACTATAGCTGTCAACAAAGCCTGGGGCAGGTGGAGAATACGGCGGGGCATTTTCTGGATAGCCTGGGTAATTGGGGTTGACATAACCTGAGCTTCCATCTTGTGGCTTCACCGTCATCCCGTAGGCTCCGGGGATCACGGAGGGGAAGGCGACCGGTGGAGGAGGAGGGTACGGCAGGCCGCCAGGGGCAAGGACGGCCCCGCCGTGCACCTCCGGGCCCGGAACAGTGAAGCCAAACGCGGCAGGAAAATTAGGCTGATCGAGGTCAGGAGGCTGAGCGGTGCCCACCGCCACGGGAGTGTAATCGTCGGCCTTCTCGGTGGTCATCCTCGCTCTCGATCGGGAAAAGAGGACGACAGGTGCGAAGAAAAACTGGAGATAAAACAATAATGTAACGGAGAAGAAACAGAAAATACTTTTACGGCGAGTCGATGATAAGGACGACGGTGATGGGTTGAGGACACCCACACACACAAAAAAAGAAAGGAATATCGTCAACGAAGTCACGTGACAAGCACCGTTTCCGGTGTTGAGTTATGTCGTGTTCCAGTTCAGATGCGTTTTCTTGCAAGTTTGTGTCCTGCCATAACACCCACTGCGCCCTTATACTGTGTTTTACGGCCACGAAAGGAACCCTCACGGTGCATTCAAGTACAACTCGTATATTATACAATCAGTTGGTTTTTTTTTTAAACAATCAATCAATGTAACGATTAAACTTTACCATTCTTACCCAAAACCATTTAACATATTTGTGTTTATTGTAAATCAAGATTGGCTCCTAATAACTCACCTGGTTGAATAATTAAATAAAGTATATATATAAAAAAACGTCCTTGGCCATTTTAAAACTACTACTGTTGAATTTTTGTTTTTAATTGCTTAACCGATCAGGAATCAAATGCCATAAAATGAAAAGTTACCAGAAAAAGCACAATGTACATTAATGGCTAATCAAACAAATGAATACGTCAGCATCTTTGAATGATACATTTCAATGCAACACAGCTTGACACAAAGAATAGGTAAAGTATATGCAAACAAACAAAATTAACCATTCTAAAATGTTACGATAAGGAAAATATTAAGTATCTCTGCAACTACCTCTCTTTTTTACCCTTTATATTAATATTTAATACTGTTGAAAAAAAAGAGAAAAAAACAGAACGATATCGATACTGAAATCAACAATGGTGTGGATCATGTTAGAAATTCCCATGGTGTGTTTTTGTAAGATTTGTGTTACACATGCTTCCTTTTTTTAAAATTAAAATCAAAGAAAAAACAAATACACATAGTTTAAAACAGACACCAGATCATATCTGAAACTAACATTTCAGATATATTTCACTTTCCAGAGTCTGGCCTTTGACTGTTCGGAAGACAAAAACAATTTACCATAAAAACCAACTTTTTCCTACAAAACTTTAAAAATGTGAAGCTCATATGAAAAAAAAAAAAATATATATATATATAAGGGGCAATAATAGCTGCTTATATTGGGAAAAAGCTTTTTCTACTGTGCAGTGGGAAAGTATTTGTCCACACGAAATTCACAATGGTTCAGATCAAACAAATTTCAATATGAGACAAAGATTACCTGAATAAAGTTTGTCCTTTAAATGTCACCCAGGTACTGAAGCACAAAGCAACCAATCACAATACCACCTCTGTCTGATGTTCCTTTTTTGGCAATGCTGGTTTTCATCAGATATGTCGTCAAGGACCTCTCCCTCTAAAAAAAGTTCCAATTTTGTGTCACCACTCTACAGAACATTTGGGGATTATCAAGTTGTTGAAAATGCAAAATTGTGTTCTTTTTGCTCAACGGTGACAACATGCATTTGGAAAAATAATACTGCGGAATGTCTTATTGGCATAGTAAAAAACACAAATAGCAAATAATAAAGAGAACAAATAACTTCCAGGTGATCACTAGTGCTCATTCAATGCTGAGGCCAATATTCCTCTTTTTCATTGTGAAAATAATGACCAAAAAATTCTTCGGCTCACAAATAAGTAAGTAACTTTTACTGCAAGTAAATCACAACTTTTCCAGATATTAATTTGGAAAAGCTAAGGTGCCCACTGTCCAACCTCAAGACTCATACGTTTTATCCAGTGAGTCTATCAGGACACCAGTGCCCTCATGACACCAGTGCCCTCATGACACCTTGTGATTCACAAGAATTCAACAAAATTTGCCTCAACAAATTGCTGTTTTCGATGCGTCACCACGTTGATTAACGTGAGTCCCTTTCAAAGTTTCAGGGAGGAGACCCCGCCATGTTATTTATGAAGTGTCAGGAAATACATTTTTAGACACAATTAGTGAGAAATTTTTTTTTAATTAAATAATGTAAACTGTAGTTTTCCATTGTACCAGTTGGCTTAAATTGACGACAGAGTTAAAATGCGGCCGTAAAACACCGTGTAGTAACGCAGCTAGAGGGAGACTCATATTGACGGGGAGACCAGAATGGACTCAACACGTGAAAAAGGCAAAATCACTAATCGAAACAGTCCAACAGTTGAACATGTGGTCTGTCCTTTGTTACATTATATCGGTCCCTGAATGAAAGCTGGAAAAATCAAATTTAATACAATTTTACGCAGAGTTTTAAACGTCCGCCATGATTATTTACATGAATTGATTTCACTCTCACGTCACCGCGTGACCTTTACCTGTAAAAGCAACAAAACACGAGCTCAACTGACTGAAATGAATAGAAATGCATTTTGAGCGAGTCTTTGAATTCGACTTTCCTCTCATTTATACCTGTTTCTGTCCACAAGAAAAACAACCTGTAAAGTTTACTTCCTGAAACACAAAAAGCGGAGTTAGAAAAAGAGCACTTACACTGAAGGGAATGCAAACTTTGTTCCTCTAAGACTGATACTTTGGTTTCCAGGTTTCTGTCTGAAAACTGTCTGGTTGGTGGTGAGAAACTTCCGCTTCGGCTTCTCTGTGTGAAAGCTGCTGCATTTAATCCTACACTGGAAAATAGGAAATATGGGAACTGTCACCAGAACATTAACAATTCAAGTGCATTAGCTTCTTAATCCTTGACATGTTATGGAGCAAACAGAACCCAGGGAACCTAAAATGTGACAGATTAAAAAAAAAACTGCAAGTCATCTTACACATTTTGGATTGTTAAGGAATAAGAATTTATTTTATTTTATTTTTAGCAGATGGGTTCATATTCCCCATATTTCTGGGGGATTCACATTGTTACCAAATAGTTTGTTAAAACATACATTTATTTCTATATCTACATTTACAAAATAAAGCGAAAGCTTTCTTTGCATGTTATTAAAATAAGAAACGTACACAGCAATGATTATTTCTACTCGACCTGAATGTCGCATGGCCTGTTTGAGCGTTAACAGTAAACTGGCTTTTGCTCCGCCTGTAATGCGTCAAGGGCATCGAAAGTGAGGCGCTCCAAGCTTCACGTTGAGCGGACAGTGTTTAATTTACAGAATACATGACAAAGAGACAAAACAGCAGGCCTCAGATAGCTTTCAAGAAAAAAAAAAAGAGAGATTTCAACATTGGGTGACTGCTGTTCAGTAACTTGAAGGTGTTTTTCAGTTAATTCGCTGATTAGAATGTGAAACCATCAACTTTATTTAACAATATGTAACTTTTCTAATTACACGAGGATAGAAGATGATTGGAATTACAGTATGTGTGGAATGAGATTAAAAATGGGTCATAAATTGGGGTGACAGTGGCCAAAAGGGATGAGAAAGATAAGTGTGAAAAATGAGCAATAAAGAGGAATTAGGTGGATAAATGTAAAGAAAAGAAAATATAAAGGGATGAACAGGGATGATAGATGTGTGGCGGTGCTGCAGCCTCATTTTTAAACAATTACAATTTGGACCTCAAATTCTTCTTTTATTTTGACCATTCATGCATTTTTAATCAAGGGCTTAAATGTATTTTTTCTGTTCATAATAATTTTCTCAAAACGATTATTTATTATTGCCGCATAAGCTGCTCAGTGTTAAACAGAGTATAATAAAACATTTAATTTGAAGAAAATGTCCATTTATTTTTGAAATTACATTATTTAGAATCATGCATTACAAGATAAACAGCTCATGTACCTGCATTTGAAAAATTTTGATGTCAAAAGACATAACACACAGCACATTTGAACAAGTTAAAAGTTCATGCGGTTCAAGCGCTGTCCTTATCAAACAGGTCAAGTATAAAAAGATGCATTTAAGAGTTTCAAACTTTAGACAAAAAATTAGAACTAGAAAAAGAACAACAAAAAAAGCTTTAAATGTATAGTTACCGTTCACACACTTGTTTACTGTACAGAACAGAGTTCAGTCAGACCAAGATAACTTAGTCCTTACATGCTGTTGATCATGAGAAATGCAGCAGGACGCGTGGGCATGTTCAACGCTTTATTTAACCTGTGTTAAATAAAGCTATTATTGCTTCAAGGCTCCTGAATAAATACATAAATAGCATAATTTAAAAAGGCACACAGTGAAAACATTTTATCAAAATACAAGATTCACATTCAGCAGTTTCTCCTTCTCATTTGCTGAAGCAAGGAGAGGTGAAGATGAGTGCTTTCACCAGTTGTCATATTTCACATGTGCCATCAAGACATACATTGTAAAGCAAACCACTGAAGTGAAACTACTCTATTTCACTCTAAATGCTGCTTAAAAATTTGTCCTAACAAAACACTTCTGACTTAAGGTACACTGCCCTTCCAAACAAAAATAATGGTCCGATACTATTAAATACTGTCGTGGATGATGATATGACCCACTGTTCTCATGCATCTAAAAGTGTTTCTGTTTTCAAATTGTAGAAGAAAAAAACCTGATCATAGGACATAATATGCACTTGGGAGTTCCATATAAAAGATACTGCGCTGCATACGTACAACTCAGCAGCAGCTCACACAAGATCACGCAAATTTTCTTTATCTAACATGAACATGTTTTAATGCTGAATAAATATTAAATATTCATATACATCCAATACTGATCTCACTTGAATAAAATATACAGATATTCTTCATGTTTCTCCATGTTTTCTTCAGGCTCTTGGGTATAGAGTTGAAAAAACTCAATCTCGTAACTTTAATGTCTTCACCGAAGGAGCGAATCTACCCTCTTCCCTGGCACGAAGGCGGTCTTTGTGAGTTTACTGCATGCGATCTGTCTGAAGCTGCTGTGGCTGATACTGGCTAAAGGCGGCAGCAGCCGCAGCGGCTCCAGGTGTTGCAGCAGTAGCGAGCGGCTGTTGGACGGTGTATCCATACCCGGCCGTGGTCATGTAGCTCGTAGGTGCCGGCGAGGCCGCATAAGGGTACTGATCATAAGCAGCGGCTGCAGCGGCGGCGGCGGCAGTGGCAGCAGCAGAGTACTGGGCATAAGCTGCCCCAGTATAGTCAAGGTAAGGGGAAGTTGCAGCAGCAGCGGCGGCTGTTGCTGTAGCAGCAGAGGGTTGTACATGAGGGATCACCACGCTGGGCTGGACAAAGGCCTGTGGGTAGACGTAGTGGGCCGGGATCCTGTTGGACAGAAACATTCACAGGTTCAGAGAAGAGTAGTAGCCTGTTATCTTCCCGATGCTGAAACAAAAAAAAATAAATAAATAAAAAATCTGGAAAAGGTGCCAAATATATCAACCCAGTACTCAAGGCACAGCAAATCCATTCATTAACAACTGAAAAAAAAAACCCTACCTAGAAATGAAGAGTTAAAAAAAAGCAGCAAAAACCAAAACGAACACGGGTGCAGCTTTTAATTCTGAAAAAAAAAATAAATAAAGCACCTGAGTCTGAAACACGGTGAGGCATTAAAAGAAGGCACAGCCAAGCTCTGCACCACAGAAGAAAAGAAACAAAAACATATTTGACAAAATGCGAGTTTGTCACAAAAACACCACAACATCCCAGCACAAGAAGTGGACATTATTCCCTCTGTCCACAGTCTGGCACAACACCACACATACTGGCATGCCACACATGTTAATACGTCCTAAAACACAAATATATATCTGTCCAAAATGACTGGACATAGTCTTTTAAAAGCAAAAAAGAAATTGACAATAATGCAGAAATAACATCCCGACACATTATCATGTTTTTCATCTACGCTGTTCCATTACAGCTCCAGATCTGTTCTGGGTTTTTGTCCTGCTTCAAGGTGAATCAGTCCACATCTTTTGCTCTAAAAGGTTCTTTCATGATTGCCATGAGTTTGATCCTCACACCATGATGCTGTCCCCACCATGCTTCACTGTAGATACTGTCTTTTTAGCCTGCTGTGTAGTACCACACTAACTGCAGTCAGTTCTGATTTAATTTCATGAGAACCCTCTTCCTTGAATATGTTTGCTGTATCCCAACATGACTTGTAGGAACTTTAAACTAATGGCTTTTGCTCATTAATGTCTTTCTTCTCTTTTAAAGGTGAATTTGTCTTTGGTCTTTGTCACTGGAGATTATTTAGAGGCATTAGAGTAAAGGAGGCTAAGAGCAAACACACACCAGATTTTAAAAACTGTTCTTTTAAAAATATATATACTTTTGTTACACCTCACAATCCTGCACACACTTTTGTTGGGCCATCACAAAAAAAAGTAGTTTGTGTTTGTAAAATAAAATAGAAATGTAACAGAAATGGTTACAAGAACCTGAATACCTCAGCAAAGCACAGTATAAAAGGACAAAAAGAAATCTTTGTATCTGGGTAAACTTTTCCCCAGTTCAAACTTGTGCTGAAGTCACCCTCAGTAAATATGCAGAGGAACAGGTGTGAAACATATCTGTTCACACATAAGTGGCCCCCTTCCCTTTTTTTAGAGACATACACCCCCACACACAAACATACCCGATTTGACTGACAAGGGAGGCTGCATGCGTGCTATTTTTGCTCCCCTTGTCATCTCAAAAGGACAAGCTGATCTTATCCTCCAGGGCACATGGCAGAGTGCTGGTCAACTGTTCTATGGTTTCATTTACATTGCTTAATTTTTAATCATCACGGCCAAGGAGTGCTGGCTAATTTAAATAATTAGGACTCTGTTATATTATTCTTTTGGGTGAATGTAGGACAGTTACTTCAATCAGAAGACATAAAAACTTACAAACAAGCAGGCAAACAAAAACCGTGTTGATCCCTTGTGACAAAACTTTTCCTGCAATATGACACCTTCAAAGGAGAAAGTTTAACTACATGACTATGTTTTTTGAATCAGAGGAACATTTCATCATCTTACAAGTCGGGAGCTAAATAAAGGTGCTTTGTAAATCAGCAGGACACATGGATAATCCCCTGCACATAACCCGGAGCCTTCATGGCCGCAAGGCTCGTCCACCTGTTGTCCCGAAGCTGAGCGGCCCCGTCTGTGCCATACATTATTAAGAGTGCCGCTGACTGACTCCTATTTTCCAAGAGAATTTGAGACGCTGTGCAGATCACTGTGGCAAACAGCTGCTGTCTAACTGTGTGGCTAAGATCTTCGTCTCGAGTTGAAGGCCCAGTTCAGACTTCTTTTTTTATTTTTTATTTTTTGTATAATCAAATCAAAAAGTAGGCATGGAGGCGTATGAGCTTTTCTTAGTATAATATAATAAACTGCATTTAACAACAAATGATACAACTAATTTTCTTTTTTTTTAAGTAAGAAAATTCCTACTGCTGATAAACTAAAAAATATCAAACATAGGACTTATAATTGTAGGACTATAATTTATAGCATTCATTTTTATATTAGTTTCCAAGTAAACATGTTTATGGAACAAGAAAATTATACCTCTGTGGCTCTTTATTGAGTTCCACAGAAATTCTTAAATAGTAAAGCAATCTGCAGTGGTAGCCAGCCTGCAGTCTGCTGCTTCGATGCTCTTGATTGCTTTCCAAATGCAGTTTAACCCTTTGAATGACTATAGGCAACTTTCTTGCTATTATTATATAAATTCATTTAGTTTCCATTTGAAAAACTGGCATTTCCATGTGAAAACATTTCTGTGTAATGAAGTTTGTTATTTTCAGTCTGAAGCAAATGGACAAGAGAAAATAAAAGTATGGACTGACTGAGATGACAAACAATTGTAAAGAAAAACAAAAACAAAAAACATCTTCACTAAGTGAAAAACAAAGTTTTATGTTGTTAAATGTTATTATTTAAGTCCTAGCTTTGCTAAAGCAACAAAATAAGACAAAAATACAGTGGCTAAATGCGAAACACAGGCCAGAAAATAAATTTAGTCATATTGCTTATTTCATATGTTGTTGTGATAACAAGAATCCTGAGGCTCAGGGCTCTAACATTGTGGCTTTTGGGGACTTTTTTGCGATTTATTGCAGAGTTATGAATATATGTTACATCAGTGAGAGTAACAGTAGTTCCAAGAAGAAAATTTGTCTTATTTGTAAGCAAGTGGAAAATGTATGAACTTCCTTTCAGTCTGCTCAATGGTGGTGTGCAGCATTAGCTGGGTGTCAAACAACACTTTCACTTTCATTGCATTAAAAGAACTTTGAACAGAAGAAATAGTATGACGGAAAACATTTGTAGTTTTAAAAATGTAACTTCGTAAAGCCTTGATACAGACTACTTTTGATTTAATCTACAAATTAATGCATTAGGTTAATGAAATGAAAACACAGCATTATGGGGTAAGGTAAACAGAGAATCAACTCCCACATGCAAGCCAGTGTTTGTTTTGTTGCAGGGGATGAGAAATTTAAATTGACACACTGTGAGTGGTTGTCGACCCGCCCCTTGCACAACAAAACATGTCGTGTTAACTCGAAACCGAGAAAGAAATAAAAACAAAAATCAAAGAAACAGGCTAGAGCACAACCAATTAAAAGGGGGGTAAAAAAAAAAGAATCAATACTCCTCAGCAGAGTTATAATTTCCTGTAAAATCTGATCAAATCTGACCCATCTGCACCGCCCCTCTTCCCCCCACTGCAAGTAGAAATAGGCACACAGTTAAGCTGAACACCACATCATACTGAACACAAGGCACACACCAATCTATGTACTATAAGAAAACTGGAGAAAATAAAAAACAACAACAACAACAACAACCAAAATACTTTCCATGCATCTAGTCACCATTGCGGTTCGTTTGTGTATGTCACAGTATACAGGTAACACTTTAGCGCTCTGCCCAATGCAGACTCAGCTATTCCTTCAAATCATCATGTCCCCCCATCAGCTATTTTAACCGTTACCGAGCCTGTCAGATCAGAGAGAGACAAGACAACATGGAGTCAAGTCCTGCAGTGGCTCTGGGACATATGTGCACTTCCTTCACAGTCAACCCTCAAGCAGTGGAGCACACATAGACACTCACAAGTCCTCATTCATGTAGGGAAAAAGAGGTGGAGGCAACAATAAATGTATGTTTAAAATAGATATTTGATCTTTACATTTTTTTTAAATCATTTTTATAGACAGATTTTGTAAAACAAACTGAAGTTTTATTGCTAAACATACCCGTATGGTCTTTGGATAAACGCTGGATGGATCTGAGGCACACCAAATGCAAAACCTAGAATTAAGATAGAGAACGGTCAAAGTCCAAGTTGAAATTTTGAAGAAAACAAAACTACAAAACAATTGAATTGCTTAATGTTTGCAACCATCACAAACCTCTGCCTTACTCCTGCATAAATAATAAAAGGGCTGGTATATTTATACTAATCACCTGGTTGGATGACCCTGGGTTTGGCTCCCAGATAGGCTAGGTTCACATTGGCTTTTCTTCCATCTATGATGGGATTGGGATCCTTACATGCTCGGTCAGCTGAGGCCCGATCTGCCATGGTCACCTTGAACAATACATGTTCATATTTTAGAGTCAGCAAACACAAACTTGTAAAAGTACCCAACATTAGTTCATCATTATTGACTTTCCACAGTTTTCAAAGCAGATAAGTAATTTTAGAACCACTTTATGGCAAAAAAGAACCAAACAAAACAAAAACAAAAATGATTGTACCTACTAACTAGTGTAATTATTGTAGTGAGAAAATGAATTCTTTTTACAGAAGTTTTTACTTTATATGCCAGTTTACACAAATTATAAGTAATCACTTCATCTGTTTATCTGCAGATGCTGTCTGATTGTGTATTGTGATCTTAGCTGAGCATCTTTAGCTTGAAGTGAAGTTTTAGCGTAAAATATGTACTTGTAAGAACGCTAACTTTAGTGTTAAGTTGGGTGACAGGGATCCTCAGAAAAAATAGAGTGAGCTACATACATAAGCACCTTTAAAAAATGTGCGAATGCATGCTAAAGCACATCACCACAGGCAGGTCCAGAAATAATAATGCTGGTCAGAACAGGAGCAGAAATTGCAATCTTATTGGAATACTAACAGATTTTTTTTTTTTTTATTGCAGTTTTTGTAACACACTGTCTTTCATCACTGTATTAAGTAACAGGCAGAGTGGTCTCCCAACAGATTGACTTTACTCCACTTCCATAGAGTACTGGTTTGTTAGGTCTCCAAGTTAACAACAATTCTTCTGGGTCCTCCTCCCTCAACAAATAACAAAATAATTATTGATAATTTGAACTTCAAAACTTGCTTTTGCTACTTTTTTTTATTATCAGGGGTAAACAGGGCTATGGACTGACTGATGCCTGAGTTTGACGTTCCAATACAAACGTGACATCATCACCCTTTAGCAACCTTCGTTTTATAGATACTCAACCTATTTTCACATTTTTTTAAGCTTAAAAAAATTCTCGATTTGGCACATCGAAATCCTTAAAGCAGTAAGTACAAGCAGAAGAGCGCTGAAATGCTAAAACAAATATAAGCGTAAAACTGATCAGTACATTTCTAACCTTTCTTAAAAAAAAACTCAACACACATTTTATTTAATAATAATAAGCCGTATCATAATCCAACTCAAAAACGCTTGCCAAGAAATTGTTCAATGCAGTTTTACCGATTTCTTATTTTTTTCTTATTTTTTTGTTTAATTTGGTTTTTAAGGAGTTCTGGTATAGGCAGGGCAATGTTGTTGTTTTTTGTGGTGTGCCACAAAAAAAAGAAAAAAAAAGTAGAAGAAGAAGAAGCCAAGTACTGAATTTGGCACGAACGATTCCCAATCATATGACAAAATTAAAAATGAGCCTCCAGGCTGTAAAAGCTGTCTCGGTCGCGTCAGCAGGTTTGTACTTACAAATCCATAACCTCTGGATTTCCCCGTCTGCCGATCGGTGATAACAACAGCCTCCTCGATGTCCCCAAACACCTCAAAATACTTTCTCAGGCTGGAGTCAGTGGTGTGATAAGGAAGGCCTCCCACGAAGATCTTGGTGAAGGTGGTGTCTTTCTGTGCCGAGTGCATGATTTTGTGGATTAAATTGTCTCCGGTTGGAGTGTTTTTTTTTCCTCGGGGTCAAACTCAACGGGAAGGGAACGCGTGCGGCTGAGCGGCGAGGCGGTGTGACGGACTGGCACAGGACCTGAAGCAGGAGGACACCTGTTAGTTTGTTGTGAAGCTCTCCCCAGTTGTCAGCTCGTGTGACACAGAAACTTAACTCCACCCACATCTGCAGACCACCACTCAGAGTTCAGGCTACCTCCCGTCGCACAGCTGCTGCAACAGTGGCAAGGACGCTCAATGGAGGCCAGGGGCCAGGGCTCTGCCCGCTTTTAACATCCATAAGAAATTTTTACTCTGATTAAAAGTTTGCATCTCCATGCATAAGTGTAAATCTGCTCAGCTTAGATTGTTATTATTATTGGAAATATGTTTAAACTGATGAACACGCTGCTGTAAACATGCATTCCCCTAAATCAGGGGTCTGCATGTGACCCACTACTGTAACTTTTAGTAACTATGTCCAAAAATGCTAGCGAGTAGGGCAATGTTTGAAAATACATGGCTAATTGTAAAATACTAACCTTAGCAGTTTTTCAGTAGTGATTTTTAATTAACCAGATGCTTAACATTTACAAAAATAAAATAAAAATAATAGTAATAGTGTAAGAAATATGCTTTCTTATCATTTTTGTTTCTAGGTTCCAGACTACACGTGCTTTTGAATTATTTTAAGTAATGTTCCACTAAATTGGACTTGAAGAAAAAGGCCTTAAAACAAATAAAATAGTAGCATACTTAAATAATTTGAAAAAAAAAAATACATAAAGTACAAATACAAGCCACATTGTTTTGAAGCGTCATGTTGATTTTGTGACTCTAAAAATATTTTCAGCCGGACTGAGGGCAGAAATGACAACTGTAGACCAAAAATATTTCAATACATCAAAAGTCCTACTCATTTCTTTTTAGAGACCACGGACAGAGAGACAAATGAGTTAACAGACTGGGTGATGGATGGACAACATAAAGGATAACCTAGATGGACAGACTGATGACTGAGCAGCCAGATGGATGGTGGATGGAGGAACAAATTTGACATCTTTTATTAACAAACAGCAACATAAAATGCAGTCTGACTGGCATAATGTCTACCATGCAAATACTGGCGCAGGGAATAAGGTCTTAAAATACAAATTTTGTTCCATCCCTAATTGATGACTGTGTCCCGAATGTCTGAAACAACACATAATGAAGCATTATGCTCAAACAGCGATGCTTTAAAAAAAAAAAAAAGAAGAGACAACACACAAAAACTGATTGTAAATGTTCTATTCTAGAACACTGTGTACCAATTAAATCAAGATACATTATAAATACAATTCTGTACAATACAATAGTGTAAATACTATGTTCAAATACATTTACAATAACAACTCCTTATTAGGGAGAGCAGCTTTGTTCTCTTCTTTAAAATAAGGTCTTGGGTTTGTTTTATTTAAGTGAAATTGCGGCTTGATTATTTTTATGGACAAGTCATAATTTTCTTTAAAAAAAAAACTTTAAAGGAAATGTAATTTTCTTACCTTAATAAATCTGTTTCTAAATATTTATCCAATCCACCATGACGGGAGGGATCATATTCTCCATTTCACATACTGTTTTAAGGTCCATACTCTTTTGATATGATTTATAGGTAAGTATACAGGGGGTGTCTTTGCAAATAACACAATAAGGCATTTATTTGTATATTCAGGCTTCTGAGCAATCACTCACAGTCGTCAGGGTTATGAACATTTAGTCAGTCCTGTATGGAAGACAGTCAGAGAGCTTCCCAAGAATCCTTTCCAGTGCAACCTTATCTCATTCAGCCTCAAGCCGAACGGGATTTCTTTTCCTCCACAGTGTTACAGTACATCAACAGGGTAATTCCTGCCAGCGAACGCTGAAAGCTGCTCCCAGGTTTGGCAGATTTCTCCTGTTTCAACTTTACGTGGCATTGCTCCTACAGATATGGCACTAAGCTTTACTTGGACACGTCGATTTATAGTGAGGATATCCATGTACAGATACAATGGGAAAAAAATACAACATAACACTCGTAACAGCAGATATGGAACCGTAGTTCTTTGGTTAGCCCTGACGTAACATATTGATGTAAATATCAAAGTTTATAAACAGTAGTACATTCTTAATCTTCGAATCCCAGATCACTTCATTATGAGCCTCAGAGAGGGTCGTGTTCTGTAATACAAAAATATTACATATATTCTTCAGAAGCGATGTAAGAAAACTTAGGCGGATAATATTCCCAGATAAAAGTCAAGTCCTCTATAAAAATATGAGCATATAGAAAACTCAGATATGTGCATAGTGATTTTGTTTGTTTTCAGTGAACAGCAACTACAAAATACTTCATTAAATGCACAGGTTAAGATATGCCTTTGAGCAAAGCATCCACACAAACAGCTCATCAGTGGTCAGAAATTAGCCGTCGGGGTCAGACTCGAGACGTGAAGGAGAGGAGTCACGCCTGGGTCATTCACATCCCTCAGAGAGCAAGTTCTTCTTTGGGTCCTATTTGATGAAAGTCTGGGGTTCTGTTTCCATGGAGGGAGGCCCTCTGGTGAGCCGAGATGGTTTTACAAACACGCCGTGGCCTGGAGGACAGCGGAAGTACACTCTGCCTTGGACAGTCCCGTTGTGCTTACCTAGAGAAGAGTGTAAGAGATTACTCATATTAAGGTAAGAATTATTATATACAGCTCTGGAAAAATTTTAGAGACCACTTATAATTATCAGTTTCTCTGATTTTACTTTTTATATTTGTATGTCTGAATAAAATGAACATTGTTCTTTTATTCTATGAACTACTGAACACATGTCTCTGAAATTTCTAGCAAAAATGTTGCAGAAAATGAGAAGTGGTCAAAATAACAAAAAAGAGGCAGTGCTTTCAGACCCTAAATAATACAAAGAAAAGAAATTCATATTTATTTAGAAACAACAATATTAATGTGTTATTGTAATGTATTAATATTTGTCTGAATAACCACATTGAAACCCCATTGAAATGGGGTTCAAAAGTAAAGTACTATCAAACTGATAAGTATTTAAATATAAAGTTTAGGTGTTTTAGAAAAATAATGTTCCCTAATGTCAACGTATTTGATAGTTACACGTAAAATTTCTTTCCTCATTTAGTAATACTAATTTCATTTTATCAGTTTGCTGTAAAGTACACTGTGATTCTGTAATAGCCTATTGGTGGATTGAAGTTGGATTTTTTACTCTGATCTAAACACGCATCTTGTTTAACCATTTTAATGAAAAACAATGATATGCACACAAGGTGTCCTTATATGCAGACAATTATGTAATATACATATCAAATCTTTCTGGGTATAATATATGTAGTTTTTCATATTCCTAGGTCTTTTGGACATAATTATATCAAGGTGTAAATACTCGTTAGGAAAAGTGAACTTTTGCTACTTAATGACAGTGAAGTAAGTCTTTCTATATGTAATTTTCAATTTGGAATCACTGTCAGTGGTTGTCAGATAAAACATTTACAATATCTCTGAGCAAAATTATTATCCCTCTTTTAAATCAATAAATACTTGTCACATTTTCTAGAAAATGGCACCACATTAAAAAGCGCAGGCCAATTAAGAAGACCCGGTTCATCCCTTTCACAGAATCATTTTATTATTAATCCAAACGTGACGTCATCACAAGTGAAGCTATCTGATCAAATAATTTTAACTGGACAATTCGATGTAAGACTTCTAAACCTAAAGCACTGTATTATTATAATCATGCTGCTGGGAGAATTGATACATTGCAAGGAGCTGAAGAATGAAGGATTCAGAATCCTATGATCTCAAATTTACAGCTAGACTATTAAGGTGGGGCTATAATTGGTGTTTAAACAGGACACTGATCCTAAATATACCAAACAAATTAACAACAAAAAGTATCTGAAATATCCTTTCAAATGCCTCAGGATAAAATTTGAGAAGAGGGCTGTGAGCTATGCATTAAAGCCACTGCATCACAAAATCAGATTCTGGCCACAGCTGGTGAGCCAGTGCATTTCTCTCTTTGAAAACAAAAAGTGTGTGTTTAGTTGGGGCATGCAGTTTTAACAAAAAAAATAAATAAAAATAAGAACCACATGTAAACCAGTAATGTTAGAAAATTCATTTCACTCCATGAACACAAACATGTTTACTTACCCATTGCCACATCCAGCTTCACACCAATCCAGATCCCCTTCGCAAACTCCACACCTCCGACATAGTAGACTGTTCCTCTTCTCTTTCCTACCCACACCTGCTCCCCAGGCGCCATCCAGTCAGGAAGCTGAGCTACAGGGGTGCTCTCATCCCCGCTGGAGTCTCCGGAGGGCTCGGCGCTGCTGGGGTTCGGACTGGGGCAGGGGCTCCCGTGAGGCAGGTCTCCCTGGGCTGGTTCCTGGATAGGAGGCTCTCCTCCCGCTCTTTGAGCTGGGCCAGAGGATCGTGCTGTTGGTAAAGGTCTGATTTCAGACGCTGACGCTGGAGGTGGGTGTGATGTAGAGGGATCTTTGGAGGATGAGGTCAGGGTCAGGCCTCTATCGGGTGCAGTGATTGGGGCATTTAATGAAGTGCTAGGTACTTTTGTATTGGAGCTAGACACAGCTATGCTAGCAGGGTTTGCGACATTAGGACATCCGAATATTACATTGTCAGTGTCGGATGACAGCTGATTGTCATTCTCATGTATCTTTACATGTTCTGATTCCTTCGGGTGGTTTGTAGAAATTTCCAAATCATCATGTCCCCATTTCTCAGTAAAGTGGGCCAAATCCCCTTCTCCAACACTGTCATCAGCCCCTTTAAAGTCAGTGAACTCCTGGCTGGTGCTGAGAATACAATTATGAGGCAGTGCGACACTGTGCTGCTTATTTGTGCAGTTAGGAATATTGACAGGTGAAGAGGGTGGATGGATGAACTGTTCACAAGCACCACACGCTGAAGGAGGCTGCTCCAGGTTGCCCCCTACCGCAACACTTTTGGTCTGTGCAGAGCTTCGCCCAGCAGCGTCATGGGACTCTCTGGAGGGACAGCTCAGGTGGTCGGAGCTTTCACTGGTGCTGAAAGGCACGTCGGACAGAGTGGCAT